AAGGGGAATTCAAAAACAATTCTGCTGGAAATGGCTGATAAAGATGATTGCATTGTGAAGCCTGACTCTCAGAGGCCTTTTTTTCTTTAAATTCACAGTTCCTGATGCATTGTGGCTTGAGAAAAGAAGTTTGTGCATCAAATTAGGCTTCTCTGTGATTGTACAGTGCCACTAAGCATGGCCCCACCAAAATCAATCCTGTGTTCTCAGGGAGTAGATTGAGCCTCCTGAACTCATCACAGATGTTAATTTAAAAAAAATTGAATGTTCTGTACCTAACAAAGTGCTTGGCAAGCTGAAGGAAAACAGAGATTTGTATTGTTGTTATTATTATTTAATATATAAATAAAGGCCTCTCTGGACTGAAATTGAATTTCAGCAGCCTTTCTGGAGGCAATTAAAACCATTAGCTTCATCAGCCAAACCCAGCGTTTTAATGTCTCTGAGACGCTCAGACTGCCAAAGTTAATTATTCATCCTTTTCTTAATTGGATTCAGATTACATTTTAAAGGTACAATTTCAGTAGATTTGGCTGAGCCCTAATTGATCCTCCCCCCCAGGAGGGGTCTCATGGGAGGATGTCCAGACTTTGCAGAAGGGTTTCAGGGTGGATTCCAGTGCTGGGCAGCCCCTGGCAGATCAACAAACAGGGAAAAACCTTCCCTGCAAGGGTGGGAATGTCCCTGTGAGAGGCAAAGCTGGCCCGAAGGGACATGGAAATCTCTCTCTGATGTTTGGGCTGGGGGCAGAATGGCATTTCCAGCAGTGAGCAGGAGCTGTGGTTCCATGGCACGGAGCACATGCAAACGTGTCCCGTCCTAGGCTGAACCAGGGAGTAAAATACAAACCAGAGCTTTGATAACCGGGGCTGCTGTGCTCCTGTGCCTGGCCACTCATCAACTTCACATAAATAAGGAGGTTTTCTCTTCTAGACACAAACAGTTCTTCCTGTAGAGCCTCTGAGTAAGTCTTTCAGCCTGAATGACCTTTCCCAGCTACTCCAGAGATGAAAAGTACCATCTCATTATAATAATATATTTTTATCTTCCATGCAGTTATTTATAAACACAGGGGTTAGATGGTTAGATATCACTCTTTCTTTTTTTTGTTGTTTTTTTTTTTTGCTATGAACATCATTATAAATGAAAAATACATCCTTGGAGCCTGAACTGGTGTCTTTCCAGGACGGTATCTCAGGCCACCCACTTGCTGTGGGTTTCCAAAAGAAAAGTGTTAAGCAGTTTTGATTTCACCTTGTCAAAGCTGAAACTGAGAAAGATCTGTCTCTTAGTGCTGCTGACTGTGACACTCATGACTGCATGAGCTCATACCCTGGCTCTTCTGGGTAAAAGAATGACCATATAAACCCAAAGAAACAAAACATTTTAGAAGAATAATTTAATGTAGACTGGGACAAGTGTGAGAATCAGGCTCATGGGACTACTTCACAGATTGCTCAATGTTTTATTTGGTACTTTCAGTGCTTTTTTTCTTTAATAATAACATTATAGCTTGATTAGAGTTTTTGTGCTGATAACAAGGACATGCCAAATTACAGTTTTATATTCCACATCATGCAGGAAGTCTGTAAACTTCCAAGAAGACAAGCTGAGGTAAGGTAAAATCAGCCCTTATCAGAGCATTGCAATTTATTGAAACAGTTTCTTAATTAATGAGGCTCAATACTTTGACAGCCCAGGTATTTCTAACAAACTGCTCCTTGTTATCCCTTGATATGAGAACCCACCACATCCAGATGTGCTGACAGCTGGCTTGTGAGAGGTTTGTGGAGCTCTGGTGGCTTTAAATCCGTGTTCTTTTCCCTCCCTCACCACAGCCCTGAAATGAGGCTGCACAGCCTGGAAATCATTCCAAGCCTTTTTTGTCCTGTGTTCTTTCCCCTGCCTTTCTCATCCTGCTTTCACCCCCTCCTGCACCCCCAGCCCAGCTGCTCCCCTGGGAACAGCTTCAGTGGCTCCTCCAAAACCACCCCTGCCCAAAGCTCTGCCCCTCGCAGCAGCAGGGGCTGAGCTGCAGCGGTGCTGCTGCTGAAAAAGCTGCTGCCAGACTGATGTGAGAATTGATTCAGGAGCATCATCCTTAAAGCCTCATCAGACTTTGGTTGTGTTCACCAGAGCAAGAGCAATTTCCAGCTCACAGATGCAGGGACCTGTGTAGGTTATTTCAGCTTTCAGTGAATCTTCTACATTTTGTTGTAAAGAGATTTTTTTTTCCCCTTTTTCATTTCAAAGTAATAGAGGCTCACTTGTGAGGACTTGATTCACATTTTGTCTTGCCCTGCAGGGGTTTCTGGAGAAAGACTGAACTAAAACCCAGAGAGAGACTTTCTTAGAAACGTGATATCAAAGAAATTAGAGGGGAAAAAATATCTGTGTGATCATCATCTTCTTTTGGATTACTATGGGGAAAAAAGCCAAACAGTTTGATTTTTGGGGGATGGAGCACATTTCCCACATGGAAAGAAGTGGGTTTGTTCAGCCTGGAAAAGAGAGGACTTCAGGCTGACCTAATTGTGACCTTCAGCATCTAAAGGAATCAGAGACAAACTTTACAAGAGCATGTAGTGCCAGGAAAAGGGGAACAGCTTCAAACTGAGGCAGGGGAGGTTTAGAGTAGATATTGGGATGAAATCCTTCCCTGTCAGGGTGGGCAGGCCCTGGCACAATTCCCAGAGCAGCTGGGGCTGTCCCTGGATCCCTGGCAGTGCCCAAGGCCAGGCTGGACATTGGGGCTGGAGCACCTGGGACAGGGAAAGGTGTCCCCATGGCAGGTGGGGCTGGAGGGCTCTGAGGTCCCCTCCAACTCATTCTGGGATTCTGTGGTTCTGGGATTTTGGGATTTTTGCCCATTGCACTGGTTTGCTCCTCGGTATTTTGTGTATTTGTGTGTGATGTAAGGCACACCACCCTGCTGAGAGCTCTGCCAAGGCAAACACCACGATAGCCCCCAGTAAATCTGAACCTTCCCTGAGCAGGGAAACTCTCCAGGGAACATTTGCTGGCTGAAGGGCTCTGGGAGTGAAAGCAGTGAAAGAGAGCCTTGAACTACTGAGAAATACTGGTTTCAGAGTGACTTTACATCTGAAAACTTCCTCAGCTCCCCTCCTCCTTCTGGTGAACTGTGAGCCACCTGTAGCCAGGGGAAAGGGTGTCTGCAGGACAAATCAGGAAATACGGTCCATGCATTTTGGACATGAATAGACCTGATGAGGAAATCACTTCTAAACTGCTCCATTTACCACACAGATTATTCTATTTCAGGAATATTCTGTGAATAATGCCTGTGCATGGCTTCTCTGGGGGATGAGGGACAATAGGATCTCTTTTGTAGGAATTATCTGGAGCTTTTAAGCTGTTCCAGTGCAGAGAACTCTTTTGTTTCTGTAATTGAGGCTGTCCAGTCAGGGAAAAGAAATGTGTCTTTGGCTGAAAAAGAAAAAATACTCAAGAGCTGCATCATATTTCCTAGGAACAGCAACACCATAGCAACAGTTGTCTGTCGGTGCTGCTGCATCCCTCAGTGGCTCTCGCTGCTGGGGGAGTCACGAGCTCTCCTCACTGAACTCACCACAGCAGAGCTGCCACAGCTGGCAGAGAATGACAGGAAAAATCTACATACACCTTCTTCTCTGCATTTACAACATAACCCATAACCACATGGCACATTATTTCTCCCCTTTAAGAGGAATTTTAATGGGCAGTTTATTGGTAGAACTGCTTTGGTTTGATAATCTCTAATGAAATACTTCATTTGGGTGGGAAATTTTATTGTGTGTGGAAAATAATAGAAAATCCCAAACATATGTGAAGGGACTAGTTTTTATTAGATAAAGTCACTGTAAAAAAGCTTTGGAAACGATATAATTTCTTTTCATATTTTTTTATAATAAACACTTTGAGTGTGTTTTCAGCTTGGAATTTAATTAATAGTGAATCAACACTGAAATAGAAACACAGTATTTCAAACATCAAAATTAAAACTCTTTGATTGACCAATTTTTTTTTCCTTCAGTTTATGAGAATGTCAAGTCTATCCAAAACCAAGTCAGAAAAAATGTTTGAAAATTCTTTGAGGATGAGAAAGCTTTTTCCTGCCTAGCTCTGTTCTACTTATTACATATTAATTCTGCCTGGCTCCCTTTGTTGGGTGTGGCTTTTTTGTCATTCTTTTATGAGAGCTTGCATGGAAAATTAAAACACACTCTGATTAATTTCAGATGAGTGCCCAAACCACAGGGTCCCTCTCGCATTGACTCTGTCCAGGTTTTACACAGATCCTGCAGAGCACCGTGGGGTTACAGTTCAAATGTTCATAAAAATGGAATGACCTCTACAAAAGAAGCCTGTAGATAAAAGCAGAGGCTGAGACAAGAGGTTTTCCCTGCTGCTGCTCGGGCTGGGTCCCTGCTGGGGCTCTCTGTTGTGCTGATGTGAGCTCAGCTGCTCCAGCAGCGCCACAGACACGGCCCCTTGTCCAAAACAACTGAGGGGCTGCCACTGACGGCTGCTGGCCCGTTCACTGATGGGTTTGCCCCTTCTCCTGCTGTCAGAGGCTGTGATTGACCATTGATTGATTGATTGATTGATCAGCCCAGGCCCTGTGAGCAGCCCTGGCTGTGCTGCGGCTGAGCCCTGGGCACTGCAGAGCTGCAGCAGGAACCTGGCCCAAACCAGGGCTGATGATGGAGCTGTGTTTGGTACAAACCAGGGCTGATGATGGAGCTGGGGCTGTGTTTGGTACAAACCAGGGCTGTGGATGGAGCTGTGTTTGGTACAGAGCAGGGCTGATGATGGAGCTGTGTTTGGTACAGAGCAGGGCTGATGATGGAGCTGTGTTTGGTACAAATCAGGGCTGATGATGGAGCTGGCTCCACGTTTCCCTGGCCCTGGGCCCTGCAGGGGCACAGTGAGCAGGGCTGAGCAGCTCTGCATGTGAGACGCCACTAACAGCTCTCGTGTGCCTTTTCCTTTCTGTGCAGCTGACGAGAGAACACCAGGTGGCCCTGTCCTCCATCACTTACATCGGCTGTGCTCTGTCCATCCTCTGCCTGACGATCACCCTGGTCACATTCGCTGTGCTGTCGTGAGTAATTTTAACCTCACACCTGCTGAGAGCTGGCACAAAGGCAAGCAGAGCATTTCAGGCCACTGGGTAGGATCCCTTCAGGTACTCAGGATAAAACAAAGGCTATTAATTCTACAGCCTTCCTTAATTAGATTCTGCACGTGTATTTGTAACACTTGGTTGGTTATTTCTAAATTACTTTCATTTCCTGAAATGGGATGGATTTTATATAGCAAGCTGTTTCCATCTCATGAGAGATTTTTAAGCTGTCCATGCTTTGCCATAGCTCAGGAACCCTGCAGAGGTTTGTAGGAGGTCTGGGTCTGGACTGCAGCAGAACGTGGGCAGGGGCTGCAGGACCCTTCTCCCTCCCCAGATCCTTGTGTTGCTTGGAGCACACAGACAGCACTTGCTGCTCTTCCACTCTCCTGTCTGTAGGGCAGAGGGTTTAGAGAGGAATGCCCAGTAAGGAAGTCTCAGCCAGCATTGGCTGCCTGGCTTTTGTTTCACACAACTTGTACACAATTACCTCATACAAGCCACTTTTATGGTCAAGTGTCTGGCTGTTCTGCATCAGGCTGGTTTTCTGTGCTGCTGCAGTGGGATGAAGGACACTGTTAGCAGTGTGAAATTCACCCCAGGGCTCCTGGTTCAAAACCTCTGCATCTCCTGCCCAGAGCAGGGCAGCCCTGTGAGGGTTCTCTGTGCTGGGAAGGTTTCTGCCCCATGGCCTTCATTCTGTTTATGTTCCAGCAGTGACAAATGATTTTCTAGCCCAGCTGGGTTTGATGCAAACATTTCTGGAAAAAGGCTTTCATAAAGGTTTGTGTCTAAATAACAAACAGAAAACCTGACTAAGGGTGGAGCAACTTGTCCAAGGTTGTGCAGCAAGGAGTGGGGTTCTTGTCTCCTTTCACACACTCAACCATTCCCACTTAAGAGCTCGATTTTTGTTTTCTAAGCCTGAGCATGTATTTTGGACATCCTGTTAAGAGGCCACTTTCTAGGGGAAAGGACTTGTTGAATCTCACTAAACTGATTGCAATGCTTGTTTTTGTCCAGACCCCACATTATTTCCAAGTTTTGAGATCGGTTCTGGTCATACTTGGATTAAGACCATAATGTGTGGCAAAACCCACTCTAAATAAGTCCAACATCTGCCTGTCTGGCATTGTGCTGGTGGCATGTTTAGGCTAAGGGGAATGATCTGCTCCATTTTAGTCTGAGTGCAAAATTGGATGTTAGAGTGTTTAGAAAGGAAAAAGGAGCAAAAGGAGGAGGTGTTGCTGCAGCAGGGCTGAAAACTCCTCAAGGAGCTGGAGGCAAACAGGACTCAGAAGAGAGCTTGGAGCCAGCTGACTGTCACAGGGTTGAGCACACCACCTACATACAGCATCCTTCAAACTGCCAGTTTTAAATCATTTGATTCTCTTTTCACTGGAGAGCAGGGTCTCATTAAGCAGCTGAAGTGGAATTTTGCAGTGTGGTGTTCTTCACTACCCCATGTCCCGGCCATGGCAGCCCCTTCCTAACCCTAACCCATGGCAGCCCCTTCCCAGTGAGCCCTGCTCCCCTCCCAGGTGACACTGCCCAGTGTGTGACACATGGAGCTCCTCATTAGAAATCCATTGGCACCAGGCAGAGCATCCTTTGAGTTCCTTTTTGGACCTTGGAGCTTCTTGTCATCTCCCTGTTCATTCCCTTCACATGGGGCAGTGCAGCAGGCAGGGTGCATTGAGCAGGAGCATGTTATCACCAGGACTGCCTGTTTTTTAAAGAGAACAGAATTAAAGGCAAGGCCTGAGATGTTCAGATCAATGTTTTTGTTTTCTGTTTCCTATTTCTGGATGAGAACAGAAACACGAGGTCAGCAGACTTCCAGGAAAGCCTGTTCTTGTCAGGTTTCCAGCTGGTTTTTGAAAAACGAGAGAAATATGTTGAAATGATGTTGAAACCACAGCCAGGTCCCTGCCGAGACAGGCACTGCCCATCTGTGTATGGAGCTATCGTTGCTGCGCTCAGAAGTTGTATTTGTATAAATCAGAATCGGAACCAATGTCTTTTACATTCCCTTGTTTCCCATACAGGAAAATAGCAACAAAATAAAGGCAGGAACTGTGGCACAGTGTGGGCTGGGCAGTGCCATTCAGTGAGGAGTGGCTGTGCCCTCCTTGGCATCACAGCACCCTTGGGGATCAGAGCCTTTGTTGATGTTCTGTCACTGCTCATGGAGCTGCTCAGGTGCAGATCCAGCTGCTGCTGCCTCCAGGACAGCCGCAGACAGCGAGGGAAGCAGGCAGCTCCCACCCCAGGCTGGTGCAAGGAGAGCCCAAAGCAGGCACGGGATCCCCAGCAGAAGCCAAAGGCAGATTTTCAGCTGGCTGGAGAATCAGGGCCGGGTTCGTGGCTCTGAGCGTTGCCGTGTCCCGCAGGTCTGTCAGCACCATCCGCAACCAGCGCTACCACATCCACGCCAACCTGTCCTGCGCCGTGCTGCTGGCCCAGCTGCTGCTGCTCACCAGCTTCCAGCTCAGCCCCGCCACGGTACGTCCCAAAGCGGGGATGCTCTTCTGGGAACAGCCTGGAATGGCTGCACCTGCACACAGGAGCCTTTCCTCCATGTGAGATCTGCTTTGAACGTGCCTTAGCCAAAAAAATGCCATCCTACTGCAGGGGGAATTCCTCAGGAATACCAGGATCTAAACCATTAAAACTGGCACCTAAAACTGCTGGCTGAGATTAGGACAGATAGGCTGAGGTAACAGTATCACCAGTAAATATACACCGTAAATATATTTATATATTAAATATATACAGTAAATGTATTTATAAATATATAAATTTATACCAGTAAAACCAATTTCTTTCCAATGTTAATTTAAAAAATGCAACTTTAAGTAATGTAAGGTCTTTGGTCAAAAGTTCCACCTGAAGAGCAGAAACAAAACCTGATTTTACAATAAACTCTCAGGGTGCTCTGTGTTTGTGCTGGTAAAAACTTGGCTGTTTTTGTGACCAGCTGTTGCTCCACATTGTTTTTCAGAAGCAGCCAGTGGTCTCTGTTATTGGGGGGCTGGTGGGGGTGTTCTTTCTCAGTAAAAGTAAATATGTGGTTTGAACATTGTTCATTTTGCAATACAACAGTTACCTAAATTTATATTCAGCTCCAATGGGGTCCCTTGAATTTCTGCTAAGTTTTTAAATAACTGTAATGCCTGGTTTGCAAGGCAGTCATTACCTGAGGATCTAAAAGCACTTTGGAAAACTAAATTCATATTCTTTTGCTGTTTAACATTCAGGTGGGTCCTGAATGAGTCATGCAATCTGCAAGGGAGAAAATGAGAGGGGATAGTTTAGAAGAAAAGTGAAATGAAGACATTGGAGAGTAGCAAAAGACAAAACTGAAGACAGTAGAAACCAGGCATGGAAATAATCCTCTCTAAGTAGAGAGCTAAAACCCTGTAGAAAGGGCTTGAGGGCGATAGGAGGTTCACTCAGCGTAGCAGTGTGTCATATTCTCACAGGTTTTTCCTTTCCATCCATCCCAAATTTTCATCCAGTTCAGCTGAGTCACTTCAGGTGGTGTGTGAAAGCCTCTTTGCACCTTAGCAAGGCCAGCATCACCTTCAGCCCGTGTGAAAGAGCTTTGTGTTTGTGGTTTGGCTTGGATGGAGGCAGAACCTGTGTTCTGCAGGGACCAGTCCCAGCATCACCCACATCTGCAGCATCTTGGGCACTCTCAGGGGTCCTGCTCGTTTAGCGAGGCTTGAGAAACTCACACAGGCTCAAGCTGCAGTTTAATAGCTGCAGATTTTCTCTTAAACCTATTCTGAAGCTACTCTGGTGAAACTGGGACAGGAGCACCAGAAAGCAGGACCTGTTTTATATCACAGGATTTGCATCCACAGTTCTTTAGGTTATTAAAGCATTCCAGACACCTGAGGGTGTTTGTGGGGGAAATGGAAATATTATTTAGAAACAGGAAAATGGAAATGGAAGCACAAGGTGTTAGCCAGCACTGGGGTTTTTACAGCACCAGAAAATCCAAAGTCTCTACTATCTGCAGCTCTGGATCAGGGTTTTGATCTCTTTCTCACTCATTACTCCTGCTTGGCATTGCTGGAAGCTTCCAAGTGGAGAGGTGAATGAGCTGCTTTTGTTTGTGATATATCTATAAAATTACCTCTCTGTTTTAAGACTGTCCTCAATAAATAAAAAAAAAAGATAAATATTTTCTGGGAGGCCTTTCTGAAAGCCTACTTTACTTTCTCATCAATGGTAACAGGACAGACCTTGCTGCTGGCTGGGCTGCTTTTTCTATTTCACAACTAGAGAGCTGTCAGCTCTAGGAGTAGCAGGAACAAGATCTGCCTTTTTACAAGTATTCTGCTAGAAGGAGGGTGTTTCACATGGTGCTGCAAGAGAGACACGCCTGGGTTTAGCCTGGAAAGGCTCAGCTTCTCAGTGCTTTTATAGAAGGCAATTTTGCCATATAAGAGTAACTTCTTAGGCAATAATTAAGGCAAAAATCCACCAGAACGAGCAGCGACTTTGCTTTGGATTTTATGTACAAATCTGCAACTAGGTATTATACAAAATTATACACAGACCAACCTCCTGCTACTTCACTGTGTGCTGTTTTTCTGCTGCTTTGTGATTCATATTGTTTGGCTACTCAAAAGTTGGAAATGATCCATTTGACAGAACTAGCCTGTAAGTCAGCTTTATGTTGCATTTATATTTTTGTGGACTAATCTTCTGGTAGAAATCAAAAGGCATTAAAATGGATTTTATAGCCTTATGATAAAATTAACTGGAAAGGCTTTTACAGCTTTTGTCAATAAGCTAATCTAGTTTAATAATATGTCAGTGAACTTTGTGAAATACTAAACCACACACAGACCTCACTTACACGAATTAACCCCAAATTTATTGCTTTTGAATACATGTGGTCCCATTGGATTTGCATTAGAAAGTCCTTGTGCTAGTCCAAGTGAGTCTGTACAGGAAAGCCTCAATTTTCATTATACACCAAGTCCCAGCATTTTAATTTTCATTGGAGTACAAAATCCCAAATCACCAACATAAAGAATAAAATGCCAGCACAGCACAGCTTAGCTCAGCAAAGGGAATTCAGCATTGCCATCTGAGGCAGAACTGGTTCCTACTGGTGGTGCATCATGTTGGGCAATGCTAGGGGGTTTTTATTTATTTTTTTTTAAAGGTAAGAGGATTTGTTACTCTGAAGCTGTATGAAAATGCAGGAGAAAAATGAAATTGTCTATTGCTTTCTCTTTAAGACAGTTTTACTTAGAGATTTAGCATTTAGCCTGTAAAAGTCTATGGAAATTAAAAAAAAAAAAAAGAAAACCAATGGGACTGTGTCACAAAGAGCTAATGTATTCATTTTTACTCTTTATTTAGCTGCCTTGCAAGATATTGGCCATTCTCCTTCATTTTTTCTTCCTGAGTGCATTTGCGTGGATGCTGGTGGAAGGATTTCATCTTTACAGCATGGTGATCAAAGTATTTGGGTCAGAAGAAAGCAAGCACTTATATTATTATGGAATTGGATGGGGTAAGCATTTAGTAGCTGCTTATTTTAAGTCTCCTCACTATAGGACAAGATTATATTCAGAGCATATTTGAAATTGTCATCTTGTGATCACAGTTTGCCTTACTGAGAGCAGGTCCGTTGGATGAGAAAATGTTTAATTTTTCTGACTGCAATTTGAATTCAAAACACGCAGTCCTTGAGCCCAGTTCCACTGCAGGGAATGCCACAACCTCCCCAGGCCAGGCCAGACCAGACCCTTCATTCCCAAACCAGCAGCAGGACTGTGGGAGGGAAGGCTCTCTACACTGCTGTGTTCTTTTTTTGGCTCTAACACACACCCGTGGCTTGGTCTATGTGGATTCTGCAAAGTCATGCATGAAAAATGGGCACAGCAGCACAGAAATGTCACAACACTTCATTGGCTCGTGCTTTGTGCCTTGAAATCCTTCGAGCAGCAGAGTGCCCAGAACCCCAATATCATTACTGGGATGGAGAAGTGGTTCTGTGGCACGGGAGTGTCTCAGACAACAGTTCAAGCCTTTCTAGGAGCAATCATGAAACATAATCCGTGGGCATATTTGGAGAGCCAGCACTGAGAGCAGGGAAAAGCCCTGGGAGCAGCAGTGGTGCCCAACAAAGCTCCACACTCGGAAGGAGAGGGAGCCTCACACGCTGAGTCAAAGAACAGGTGGGAAAAAGTAGAAAAGGAATATTCATGCAATTACAGACAGTTTCAAAATATGTTAAAATATGCATTATCTCTCCTCCCCTCCAAATTCATTGGGAGATACAGCAAGAACAATTATATCCATAACACAGGCCTGCTGCAGTCACAATTGAAATATTTAATACTTATTTGGCACCACGCAGATCTGGGTGATAGTAATGCTGTGAAACATACGTGTATTTCAGGAGCTACCTACTTGTCCTTTTTTTTAGTATGTCTTTTTTATTTTGTGTGTCTTTCCTCATTCATTTAAAAACGTTCTTAGCAGCTGTGCCTAAGGGCCACAGTCCCCTGGGGAAATGGGTGCCCAGGCTGGGGGATCACTGCAGCTGGAAGGTTCTGTCCTTTGCCCTCCCTGTGTGACAGGTGCAGGAATAGCACATCCATGTGCCATTTTCTGCAAGGTTTATTGGCTGTAAAATGGCAGTGATTTAGCAGACACAGGAGCACACCAGACATCTGATTGATTGGGTAAAAAAATCCCCAAAACTGTTTCTTTGCCCTGGTGATTCAGCACATCGGGCAGAGGTGGTTGTAGCAAAGGTTTTGTGCCACTGTTTGTAGGATGCTGGTGGCAGAGTTTGTGATACTGGATGTTTTCCCATTTCAGACAGTTTCCCCTCCTTTAGAAACTCTCACAGAGTGAAGACTTCGTTCTGAGCTGTCAAAAGACATAAATTCCATTATTTGCTGTTAGTTGATGTAGTCCTTGACTTCTGCCCAGATCTGATACAACACAGCAGAAGAAAATCATAGAAAATGAACTTCCTCAATATAAATGAGAATATACTCATCCCCACCAAGCAAAGTAGATCTTTTCATCATTGGAAGGAAATACACTTTCATTTGTTCTAATGCTTCATCTTTCTCAATAAATGACATATTTAGCCTTTCAGAATTGATGTCCTAAAATTATTTTAATTGTCTATCACAGAGTTTCTACAGCCTGGTTTTTTGGGCTTTCTTTTATTCTTTGGGTTTTTTTCATGTATAGAAGACACAGAAACTTTCAAAATACAATGCTTCTTAACTACTGAGTATATCCCATATTTATAAATATATATTCATATCAATATATAAATATTTATAAATGTGCTTCTAGCTGCAGTTATTAAAGAATGAAAATATTTCTTCCAAAAATGATATTTCTGCCAGTACTGGAAAACTTTACGCAATTTGTGAGAATTATAGTAAATTAAGCAGAAATTGCCTGTCAGAGAATTTTTTAAAACCCTCATGCAGAAAACTTAAAGAATTAAAAAGAAAATTGAAACTTTAAGCTATCATGTCTAATACTCTGTCTGGGACCTGTTTATTAAATTCTGTAAGATGATAAAAGCTCAAACTGTCACATTTTATTAAATCACACAGGAATTAACAGGCAATCATTTAATATTTGAAGGGCTGGGTTTTACTGTATTTGGAACTGCTGGCAATAAACTCCAGCTCCTGGCCTGGAATGAAGAGCCAGGACCTGGCAGTGCTGGGACCAGAGCAGCTCCTGACACCAGGACAGAGCTGCCTCTGTGTATTTGTGTAATTCCTGTGGATCAGGAGCAGAATTGTCTGTGTGTAATTCCTGTGGATCAGGAGCAGAATTGCCTCTGTGTAATAATCTTGCAGACCTATGACATATTTATGTTAAAATCAGCCTTGAGTGGGCACCTGGGACACTCTGAGTTTGCTTCTGTCTCTTGCTGCTGGGTGTGATGCTCTGGATAACCAAATGTCACCACTCTTGTCCTCTCGCCTGCTCTTCATGCACCCTGAGAGAAACTCTGCTCTCCTGTCTAAGATGTTCTGAATTCTTGAGCAAAAGTGCACTTCCCTGAGGGAAAGTGGTTAAAATGAGGCTGCCATTGCTTCACATTGTCACTGCTTGGGCAGCAAGAGGCAGAGAGCCCATAAACCAAAGCCAGACTTAAAGAGGACTGTGATCCCAAGGAATTAGCACTGATTCAGGTTAACATTTAAACTAGTACTCTATTAAAAACTCATTTTGTTTGTCTGACATCAGTTGATTAAAACACGCTGGATGTCAAGTTAGACTTAATTTGAAAATGACTCTGAGCTATTCTGTTTATAGAAAATTTAGCAGAACTTGCAGGGCTTACTGGAAGATGTACTTTTATTCTTAATACTGCATCTGCCTTCCTGCAGGCTGCCCACTGCTGATCTGTGTCATTTCTGCAACCTCGTCCCTGGACAGCTATGGAGAAAGTGGCAAGTGAGTATGAAAAACCCTCCCTGCCGGTGCAGGAAGGATGAAAATCCAGTGTGGAGGAAATTTGTAAATGCGTGAACTGGGCTGTGGTGCTGCAAGATCCTCCTGGGGAGCAGGGGGGAGAGTCTGCTAAAGGATGACTTGTGTGGATATGTTGTTAAACACAGAAGCCCCAAGCCTGGTTTTCACAGAGATGATGCACAAAGAGCTCCTGAGATGTTTTTCCTGCTTTTCACTGAAGAGCTCCTCAGTGAGCTCCCTGCCCAGGGAGAAAATCTGCACTGAGATGAGAGTAATTGTTGATTAAAGATGTTCAATCTTCTGAAGAAAACTGCAGCTGCACACCTGAAATCTGGAATGGATAATGTCCAAAACTTTGAAAATTAATTTCCTTTCTAATTTGTGAGAAGAAGAGCAAATTTATCTAAAAGAACACCATAGGATTTAATCCTAAATAAGTTCACAGTAAACTGGTTCATCTCTTCAGGGCTGGAAGAAGGGCCAGTGAGGCTGACTGTGTTTGCCAGCCCCCTCCCCAGCAGGAGAGGCAGGGAGGGCTTTGGTTTGTCTCTGGCTGCAGTGAGACAAATTCACTCCAATGAGAGATTTCACAGTGCTCCAGAGCTGAAATGGCTGCCTGTGGCCGAGGATACCAGAACAACAAATTGCAAACAAAACACCTCCTCCTCCCCTTCTTTGCACTCCTGTGAAGGTGGGCTGGGGCAGAGAGGTGTCACTGTGTGACAAATCCACCAGGAGTGTGAGGGGAAAGGGAGCTTTTTCCTGATGTGCCGTTCCCTCTCTCGCTTTCAAAATTCATCAGTCTTTTTGCACTCTCTCTTAGTTGTTTTAGAAGTTGGGGTGATTTTAAATTAGTAACATAACTAATTAAATGACTGTGTGTTTCCTCCAAACCAACTCTGATCTTCCCCTGCAGCTGCTGGCTCTCTCTGGAGAACGGAGCAATCTGGGCTTTTGTGGCACCAGCGATGTTTGTAATTCTGGTAGGTAAAACCACAGCAGCCGCTGCTCCTCGTGGCTCCTCCGTGCCAGCCACACTGCAGGACTGGCTCAGGGCCTGGGCTCACACCTTGTGCCAGCCCAGTGAAACAGCACTCCTGAATGCTCCAGAAATTCTTGATTCCTGCTCCCAATTTTTGTGTTGTGCATGGGCATGCATTAGTTCATGAATATTAATTCTCACACTGTTAATTTCATTATTCAAAGAGAAAGATAGGACATAAAACAGTGGGACAGCCCTGCTATGTGATACCAAGTGCTCCTGGGGGTTTTGGCAGTTCTCAGAAACAGCCCCAAAGACCATTTCATGTTTCACACCGGTGAAAGATGAAACCCCAATTCCACCCCGCTGCTGTTTGAAGCTGTGGAGTGTCCCCAGGGGAGATGGTGACCAGAGCAGAGGCTGTGTTGGAACAGGGTGTGACTGTCACCCTTCAGGGGCTGGGGGAGGCACCAGCCTGCCCCACACCCCTGTCCCTGCAGTGCTCACAAATCTGATTTTGTCCCCTGGGTCTTGGTTTGCAGGGCTCAGGTTGGGCAGGGCAGGGATGTTCAGGTGAGTTTGTAGGGCTCAGGTAGGGCAGGTTGGCTGCTCTGGGCTGTTCATTTGAGTTTTCTGGGCGCAGGTTGGCTGCTCAGGAATGTTCAGGTGAGTTTTCTGGGCTCAGGGGCTGTCACAGCCCCTGTGCCAGCTCTAATGAGCTGCCCCTTTCCAGGGGAGGGGGCAGGGTCACAGCTCCAGCTCTGGCACACGAACACTCCACAGCAGCTCACGATGCTCACACATTAAATTGCAGTCAGTTGTAGCTACACCACAGCGATTACTCCAGGAGTCAGGAGTGCTTGCAGAGACCTGTGTGAGAGCAGCACCTCCTCAGCTCTGCCTCTGATACTTTTATTGACCAGGTAACCTACAGTGTTTTCTGCAGGCCATGGTGTCAGATTGAACGCCTGAAGATGCAATAGACTCACTGATCCGTGAAACCAGGTTACATTTAAAGCTTCATGTAGATTTTCAGAGGCATGGACATTAAAGAAATAGCACAGAGAAACTTGCCCAGATTTCATCACACAGAAAACCCCCACAAATCCTGTTTACAAGCTAAAGGAAGGAATATATATATATATATATATGTTATACATATAGTTATATATATATATAACTATATATTTATACAACTAGTGTTTAACATTGCATACCTCTGTAACTATTTGGCAAGCAGAAGGTACACCCTGGACTTCTGCACGTGAGTTTAAATTCAAAGGTATGTAGATATTGATGATTGGAGAGCAATTAAAATAATCTAATATTCATATGTCCCCTCCTCACGTTAGCACTTGCTTTCTGGCCATTGATCAGCACCAGAGGAGGAAATGAGGTGCAGTCAGTAACACCAAACCTCTCCAGGCTGCTGCCCCAGGGTGGTGGTGGCCAGAACACACCAGGTAGTGAAATGCTCAGTCACCTGAGCAAGCACAGCCTCCAACAATTGGCATGTGCAGCTGCTTGGCAGAAAGGGTTGAATTGTCTGGCTCTAACTCATGACAGATAACATTTGTGCAGCTCAGATCATGTTCTTGTAGGGATACAAATACTTTCAGAAAGAGTGAGCTCACAAGGCTGATGCACGTAGAGCAATTTGTTAAATAGTCTAAGCCCAGCTCTGCCCAGAATAGCAGCGAGTGAGCTGACAAATTACCTCTCTGGGCATTGGATATTCCAGCTGAAAAATGTGTTCGTGCCCATAGGGAAATAACAGGGCTAAACACTGTGCCTGTGTTCTTTCAGTACAAATTAGCCACCAGTTGCATAAACTAGCATTTAAGTCTGAGAAAATACTTCTCAAAAAGCAGTTTTTGACTAGTTGGATCCACAGTGTCTCTGCCAAGAAAAAGGATTATGCTGTGAGGGAAATGGGGATTGTTCCTTTCAACTCCCACTCCCCAGAGACAAGGCAGACCCCGTCCCCTTTTATCCTGCCCCAGCCCCACAGGCAACCCAGACCCCACGGAGCCTAAAGCAGAATGAGCTGGAGGGAGTGTGACTGGGGAAACACTCACACATCTTTTCCAGGCAGTAATTCACAGAACCTCCCAGCCCTGTACAGAATCCCATACCAAATATGCTCTTTCCTTGGGGTTGGAGGCAAGGGATGTGATGAAGGAAAGAGTTCCTTCTAGATGTAGGTCTTTTGGCTTCTACCTACATCTCAAGGTTTTAAGATTAAATCCACAGCACACAGCACACAAGGCTCTATATCATCCTCTTAAAGCAGCTTCACAAAAAGTCCTCACAATTAATTTGCAATCCAAACTAAGCCCAGCCCAAGTTGCCCTGGGTCGTGTCTTCAGTGGAAAAAAATCCCAACTTGAAAAGCACCTGAATTTCTGACACAAGACATTAAAACTTGTGGCAGAAGGCTTTGTTTGTTAGCAGCCATCTGCTGCCTCGCTGTGCTCCACAGCTAGGGCAGAGTTAAGGGAATGGTGGTCCAGTTCGGGTGAGAGTTTGCAGGGTTCTGGGTATAGCACAGAAATGGTTTTCTCAAAAATGCTCATTACCACCTCAAAGGATTTATAGAAGTTATTTACAAAATATGGTTTGGTAGAAATAGGGAAAGTGATCCCAAGACCATTGAATTTCACCTCTTATCTCTGTAAAACTGATTGAACAACAAGTACACTTGTTATTGAGGAGCTGGCAGTTCCATGGGATATCCTTTGAATAAACTCAAGAGCCATGGCAAAAACAAACTATTACAGATATGCTCTGATTCTACAGCAGATGATGATCTGCCCTTAGAAACCTAAAATTCAAAAAGGGATCAGAAGATTTGAAAAAAAACCCTAGGAAATCATTATAATAAAATTTAAACACCTTTAATTTGCCCTCATCCTCAGAGTTAGAATATTTATGTCAAAGCAGAGGATTATTATTGAGTTTTAACTGAGGAACAGTACTTTTTTGAAGTCTTCTCTTTCTTTTTGCTCTGTAGTTTAGGATAGTTTTGTTCTGCCCTTGTTCTTGATGCTTTGTGCAGCTTTGGACAGGAAGGGGAAAATATGTCTTTCACCTTCCCATTGTCTACCTTTTTTTTTTCTTTAAACCCAAGGTCTCTGCACAGCAAGACAGTCTTTGCCACATTTCCTTTAAGATTTCCCTCTTCCTTCACCTGTGACTCCAGCACAAACTTTCTTTTGTTGAACATTTTCAGTCTTAGTCTTTTCAAGATTTCCTACTTTTCTGTTGGGAATTCTTTTCATTTTATTGATGTTTCTGCTGGACCTGACATCAAAAAGAGTGGAGCCTTTGAAGGGAAGAGTTCAGATTTAACATATTTTTCTCGTTTCTCCTTTAAAGTAGTGGTGTAGCTAAACTGTAAGCAGGCTTTGGTAAGAAGCAGGAGCTGTACCCCTGAGGTGTGGCAGGAAAGGTGCTCTCTGAAGTGTGCACGTGGAGCACAAAACCAAAGAGAACGCAGCCACGTGCCCTGGCTGAGGAAGTTCCTGCAGGAATTTTCTGTCATTTGTTGGCTGGCAGGGTATTTATTTACAACCAGGGTATTTATTTGTGTCCTGGGGATCCTGAGCACCTTGGCTGTGAGGCAGTGCACAGACCCAGGCTGGGTGCTCCTGAAGGAAAAAGCAACAGCTTCCCACTGTGGGGGTGGAAATCATTGGCACCGGGCAAGCTACACCAGTCCAACCCTGCAAACCCCTTCTGCCAAACAAAGACAACACAGAAAGCTTCTGTTTCCTGTTGTGATTGTACAACACCCTCCAGGGCATCCTGCACCTCAGACTCAGCCACAGCTTGCTTTCCTGACTGAGTCTTGTTCCTCCTTTTCCTCCTCCAGGTCAATATTGGCATTCTCATTGCTGTCACAAGAGTCATCTCCAGAATCAGTGCAGACAACTACAAGGTCCATGGAGATGCTAATGCCTTCAAGTAAGTTTCTCTCATTGAGTGATAACAGCAATCTCACACGGGCAATGTTACACCGTGGCCTTCTCCCAGAGCACTGACATCATTCCTCTTCAGTAAAAAGCAAATACTGTTAAAGGTATCCTCCACTCCAATGCAGCCAGTTCACCACTAAAATAAATCATATTTAAATAAAGCTGAATGCTGCACAGGGTGAAACCTGTGCTTCAGCAGGAGCTGAAGTGCTTCCCTGCCTATTACAGTCTCCAGCACTTGCTGATTCATTATTTTCCCTTTCATTAATGGAGACTTTCCTCTTCCTGCTGTAGTCAAAAGCTGAATTTCACAGAGCTTCATTAATCTGTACTGGCTTATTGCAACTCTTCTGCTCCTTCTAAGGACAGGCCTTGTTTCTAGCCCCAGCTCAGTATAATATTTAGGCTCAGTATAATATTTAGGCATATGCTTATCTTTTAGGCTCTCTTGACACTGCAAGGCACATAGACTTAGACTGGATTTAAATGTGTGCCTAAATTCCAGCAGATCTTTATTTTATAGTGCCTTGAGCCTCTTGGGGTGCTGGCCTCTGAGAGTTAATCATTTTAAAATAGCACTGGCAAGTCTGGAGGGGAAAATGTAAGGCAGACTCAAAGCTACCTCTGAATATACAAGGACAAATTCTGATTTCTGAAATATATAGAGAGATTACATGAGTGTAGCTAAGAAGATAATTTAATATATCGAGGCTAAATTAAGATGTTTAATTTGTGTCTCCTAAAGATGCTTTAGTCCAAATAGAGAAATGACACAGTATATAAATAAAAGAATTTGGAATTTAGATAGAATAGAAATGTGCTGATGGCTTGTATTTAATGTTTCTGGGGCACAGGTTATTGTATGTATATGTATGATAAGGATTTGGTGCCACTGTTCTGAAATGGTATCATAAAGAATAATTTTTATGCTTGGATTACTTATGTAATTTTGAAAATGCCATTCATTTTATATATTGGTGACAGTTACCTAATTGAAGTTAGTTTAGTTATTGTACACTTATCCAACAGAGAAAGAAAAACAGTAAATAAGTCTACACAAAAATCTATAAGATAATTACACTGTAGTGAAATGAGAAGCCTGGGAATTAAAATGACTTTCAGGTTTGGCTGAGCTCCTGTGACATTCAGAAATACAAAGGAAATACAGAAACTCAGGAAGCAAATAACTGTATATTGTCAATGCCAATTTTTATGCACTATTGGAAGTTCAAAGACAAAGACACAACTCCATAGGTCCAAAGGAGCTCAGAAACTGTTCCATGTACTTGGATATGGAGCACATGCACTTAAGATACACTTTTATTTACTGCAAGGAATTGATTCAATACACACTGTACCCTGCACATTAACACTTCTTTTTTAAAAAGAAACCTGTGTGTATGCACATAAGTAAATAATTTTATGAATGATTGGTCCAGAATAAGAGTTAATGCCTTTAATGAGGAGTAAATGTTCTTAGCCCAGATATTATCAGCTGTAGATTTGGAATGGTGTAACTGTACTGAAAATGAGACTTCTCCAGATACCCTGGCTAAGAGGTGCCACGTCATTTTCACTTCACAGTTTCAGGATTTGACCTAACAAAAGTTACAACAGGGAACAAAGTGATTATTAGAGGGCTGATGCATCTGAGAACTCAAACCATTAAGTTAGTAAGTGGAAATATGTTGTGATAGAACAGCTTTCCTCACAGAACTAAATTCAGTCAACACATACAGTCAATACAACAGAAGTTAAACAGAACATAGAAAATAGTTCTTCTGTAGATATCATTACAGAAATGGATCCTCAAAGGAAGTTTGAAATGAGAAGAGCTGCAGCTGATGTCTGTTAAAGGTTCATCTCTCCCAAAAAGCTCTGATTTCTCCCCAAAGGCAGAGGAAATCCCAGGTGTGCTCAGACACCACCCCTGCATGGCTGGAGCCAGGTGTGAGACTCAGCCCATAACTGAGCAGAGATCACCTCAGGAAATCCTGAGAACAAAGACGTGGTTTGGGCCGTGATGGTATCAGCTAGAAAGGGTGTTTATTGCTAGAGAAGTGCTTAGTGCCGGAGCATGTTTAATTTGTGAAAAATTAAGTTGCTTGGCAATGCAAGTGGATATTACCAACAAGGCTTGTTTCTCTTGGCAACAAACAGCAGTAAACTGATGTAATTATTTAGAGTAATTGTTCCTGATTTTCCATATGGCAACAGGTCCTCTCAAATGCTGACTCAAACGTGACTGCAGAACATGCACAGCGTGAGCCAGTGCTCTGCTCGGAAGGCAGCATCTGACAAACTTCAGGTTTAAAAGCCAAAACAGAAAAGGAAGTTGTGAACAAAATTCCTTTTAGTGTCATAAAATTAATTTATTAATCATCTTCCCCACATTCACATTTCCCCCAGAACAAAGGGCAATTACTGGCTTATCGATCTCTTCAGGTTCAGATGTTCTTCTTGTCATAGAGAAGAACATCCTGCTGAACATCTTGTTCTGCTTTCACTGCCACTGGTGTGCTCATCTTTTTTTTTTGCTTAAAGGAAATAAAAATAAAGTAAATAAAAATAGTGTCCCTAAAATGAATTTAACAAGCAATATAAAAGACTAAGCTTTTATGATACATGAACTGCAAAATACCCAGTAATTTAAGGCTAAATGAAGACAATTAAACAGTTTTTGACCAGAGACACTAATTAAAGCATAGTAGACTCCTGTGACAGTCTGAACAGTAAATATTTGGTCACTGTAGTAATTTTCCTATGTGTGTGAAAATAGCTACTTTTTTAGTGTCTGAAACTTTAATTCTGCAAGAGCAGTTTACTGGAAACAGCTGAGCAAAGAATTATTATCATCTCCTATTTATTACTTGAATTTACTTAAGAACGTGCTTTCTGTATTGTTTTTGAAGCATATTGAACAAATATACAGAATATGATCTTTTCCTTTAGTTGTGATTGATTATTCTTGAGCCTTTTATCAGAGGATTAGCTATTGACTCTCAGCAAAATAATTCTGAGCAATAATTCAGTTGTGGCTTAATGAGAATGTTTTGCATCCAGGGAACAGATTTTCTACCAGAAAGCTAATTTAAATGTTTTAGTTTATAGAATGCTAAATCTAATACCTTGAAACATTTAAATGCATACATGCAGGATTTGTTTGAATTCTCCATTCTGTTTTCAGGGACATAACTAATCATATATTTGAGCTTAAGCATATGAGTAGCCCCTCTAAGCTTAATGCAATTAAAGCAGATTAGTTTAATGGAATTGCTCATATGCTTGAAAAGGCACATGATTACATTTCTGAGTTATGAACCATTTGGACTCTTTTTCTTACTTATTTTTGCTGCATCTAAAGACTTAACTCTACTCAGCACATTCATTGACTATGAGGGCCTAAATAAGTTTTTCCTGCTTCCTGCCTCACCCTTTCAAAGTCTTGTTGCTTTTTGCATGCAAAGTGACTTCTCTGGTACAGTGAGAAAAGATCCCCAATGTGACAGTGTTAGAAATGTGCACATTTCTTTCCCCATGGGGACAACTCTTCCCTGATTACCTTTAGCACAGGTAATGATTTGACTGCCTGAGTTCCCTCAACTACAGGGGTTCGAGTATAACACAAAGAATTCTCAAAGATCTGTTTGGCACTGATGGATATTAATTGCAGCAGAGGAAGGAATGCCCAGCTTGTCTCTGTTCTGCAGGAATAGTGGTTTTAGTTTAGAAGCAAAGACACCACGTTTAGCCAATCCCCTGTGATTTCCCAGCCAGTTCACTTCTGCATTCTGCTGTCCAGAAGAGAGAGATTCATTTACTTTTCTTGAATAAACTGCCAAGACCAACTCTTATTAAATACATTCTCACTGCTTACTCTGAAATGGTCCAATGAGTTGGAAAAATCTCTGTCTTTTTTATAAACTGTACACTTCAGCACTCAGTGAACCGAGAGTGATAGCTATCATAATCATCCATGGAGAAAGCAATTACAGCAAAATTAGAGATATTTCTTAGCTTTTTACCCTATTCTTTCTTTCATTTTATTATTTTCTTCGTCCCTCAAACTCAGTGAAATAGTAAAACAGTTCTTTATTGGAAAAAAATGTTTACTTAAATTAATGACTGAAGATTGGGAAAATGGCAGCAGCTGTAGTGAATGGGAGCAAAACAGGGCTTCAGGAAAACCTCAGCACAGTCAGTCAGTCATGTCAGCTGCTGTGTTAGTTCCAGCTGCATTTTTTAATGCATCACAAAGCCCTGCACATGAAACTGAAAAGGGAGTTGTGAGCTTCAGTGCAGATCTGTTCCTTCCTTGGGTGGCCATGCACAGAAATCCCTTCCCTGGTGAATGAGGACAGCTCTGCTGGGGCAGAGCCATCGATCACAGCGAGCCTGCTCAGCCAAACTGCTCCTGCATTTAATCACTGCTCCATTCCGTGCCTCCTGCCTTTAATCACTGCTCCATTCCGTGCCACAGCTCTGCCTCGCTGTTTCACTTTGTTTATAAACACTCCCCAGCCCTTCAGCCCAGCCACCTCCTGCCTGGGACACAAATCCCGGGAGTCAGTGCTGATACCTTCGCTGCTTTAACATCAGCTCTTACTCTGCAAGCTCCTGAGTATTGGTTGCATTTTGTTCTTGTGATTCCATTCCTGTTTTGTGTCGTTTGGTGTCCAAAGACTCCTCATTCTAAGGATTATTCCCAGCTGTTCATTCTCACAGAATGTACTTGTCAATCAGAGCATCGCTTGAAGCTCTCACGAGAGCTCTCCTGCCAAAGCGGTACCACCATCTCCTCCCTAACTAAATTCCACCTCTTTGTGATACCATTAGAGAATTTTGCTTTTCTTTTTTTTTTTCTTTAATCTCCTTCCACAAGGAAGGTGAGGAGCAAGTTACAGTCTGTAAACTCTTCTGAAAGTCTACAGGGATTCAAAATGCACAGCACTAGAAAATCCTTTCTGTGCCTTTCTGGGTGGCAGATGCTTGCAGCGCAGCCCTCAGAGACAGGAGCACCTGCTTTTGTGCTCTAATGAAAAGGGAAAGAGCTTCTTCCATTTGCTGAGGGAGAGCCATCCCTGACAGAGCAGTGTGACAGGCCAAATCTGCTTTCAGCAGTTCCTTTTCTTCACAATTTCTCCCTGTGTGTGAGGAAGCGTGTTCACTGAACATGGCTTCAAACAGCGTGCATGATGCACCTCTGAGAAAGTGCTGGAAGGAGGAGAGTTGACTGGCAACAAAGGAAATAATGAAAATGAAAGTATTAAGCACTGACAACTAGTGAGCTGAAGTGCTACTGCCAATGATAATGTCTTCAACCTAATTAAATTTTTGGCTCATTGAATATGACAAATACAAATGCAGTTTGGGTGTCTCCTTATTAGACTCAGGGTTTTAGAGGAAAAATAACATGGGTTTGAATGTTGCCAGCGAGGGTATTAATGAGGAAGTGCTAATCTTCTAGAGACCATAATGACAGTAATGGGTGTGCTTTCTTTGCTGCAGATGCTGAGAGTCACAGCGCTGCAGAAAGGCTCCAGGCCACGCTGGGATTGTTCAGGCCCATTTCAGGCCCATTTGGGGAGGAGTATTAAAAGATTAAAAGTATGTAAAGCATAGCTGCAGAGAGAGACATCTCTGCAAAAGAGAAAAACAGGGACAAATAGTAACAGGCTTAAAGTGCTGAAAAAAAATCAAATATCTTTAAGCTTAATGTGAGGGGAGTTGCAAAGCAATGGATCTGATTACCTGGAGAGCTGCTGCCTTTGAACAGCTTTCACAAGTGGTTGTACCCCTGCCTGTCAGGGCTAATTCTGCTGCCAGGAGCGACAGCCAACCCTGTCTCAGCTGGGTCAGATGACATTTGAGTCCTTCCACAGCTTATTCTTTTCTTGGTTGTCTCCTTCTGAGCCAGGACTGTCCTTCATGGGGATCATTTGGTGTCTGTCATTGCTCCTTAAGCAGGATTTGCTGCTCCAGGGCCTGTTGGTACTGGCTCCAAAGAGACAGCAGCTCTGATACTTGTGCCTGTTTCTTTCTGTGTTAGGAAGGGCAGCAAGACAAAATATATGGGTACAAAATATGCAGGAGAAACTTCATCCTTAAGAGGTGCTGGTTTTTCTGAGTATAAAGATAAAACAATTTTTATTAGATGTGCTTAGTCATGTTTATTTTCACATCTGAATGTCAGGATAGAATAAGGTTTATTAAAACCTGGTTATTAAATCCCTGTGATGAAACCTTGCTGTGAACACACCAGGATCAGTGATGGAGGGTATGAGAGGAGGGGCCACCCTCCAGCTTTGATCATCCTGTCTAGATGGGAATGCCTGCAAGCTTGTGTTGTACTTATTGAGTTGTGGATGGATCATGTTCTTGACTCTGACCTGACACATTCCAAGGGCTGCAGGTGGAGTCTGTCCTCTGCAGGAGCCTGGGGGATCTGATGGGGTCTCCTTAAAACAAACCAGGCTTTGCACAGCATTTAATGAGAACAAAACTCTCTGCTGGCCCCTTGCCTGACTCATCACTCCTGATGAGTCCTTTGTGGCACACAGGGTGCCAGGAAGAGAGGAGTCAGGTGGAGGCTGTTGTTGGCACATCTGGGAACAATGGGTGCTGGTGTCACTCCACTGTCCCCTCCCTGCTGCCAAAGTTCTTAAAGGATAGCTTCTCTCCTTCTAGAATTATAACAACAGAAAGTTTCAGGTTTGGAAAATCTATAGCTTTGAAGTTCACATTCATTTGTTTTTAAAATGTCCTAGCTGGATTTAGTTTTCCATTTTTTTAATATCAGATTTTAAGCCATGAAAGTGCTGGTGGGAGGACGGGGCTGTGAGTCACAGCTTGGAGCCTGGTTCCAGAGTAACAATTAAACGCTGCTCGTTCATCACAAAATGGGACAATTCCCTGTGAACAGCAATAACCTCAAGAGTTTGCTTGAACTGCTTCATTTACACCCTTGGCTCCAATTTATAATCCTGGAACTCTGTGTCAGCTTTATGCAGAATAATAAGAGCAAATATTCTAGTTGTGGCATTGCAGAATATAAATGTTATTTAAGCATGTGCCTTGTGCAGAGCTCTGGGCAACCTGTAAATCACTGCCCAGTCTGACACAGCTCGTAGCTGAGTGTCATTTACATATTTGCCCAATAAAGCACTCTGAAAATAAAATTAAATAAATGGAAAATACAGGTAATTACAATAAAGATACTGTCTTAGTATCAAAAATACTTTTAAACTTTTAGGTGCTCTCTTCAGGTTGGTAATAAATGCAAGGGGTCACAGCTGGGCTCCAGCAATCCTTGCAGTCCTGTTTCTTTTTTCCTGGTGTGTACATCTGAGACAGGTGCCCAGGCAAGGGTACAGCTATTTATTTGTCACTGCTGCAGTTAAAGCTCGTGTGAACCATTGCACATTACACAGAAAATGACTTCTCTTCCTTGGTTTGTATGCCTGACCTTGGTCCTTTGCTGCTCGCTGCTGCCGCTGCCTTGGAAACGGGAGAATGATTGTTCTGTTGGTATCGTTGCATAATTAAAGGTCACTGAGAGAGACTGTTTGGGTCAAGAGATCATTTTCAGAATGCAGCTCCTCAGGGGCTGAATGTTATTCCACAAAAATTTTCTTCATGATTTGACGTGATCGTTACTTTGTCATCCTAAATTAAAATATAGGTCTCGCTGACATCAAGTTAAAAGCCAGAAATCCTCGCCAAACCCACAGATTCCCAGAGCTGCTTTTTCTGGTTGTTCCAGGGCCACAGAAGCACCAAGCTGTGCACATGGTGTCAGCTAGGGAGTGGTAAATGGCTGTGTAATTGCCACTGACAATTTGGAAATGTGTGTGGAAGGAAATCACTTTGACTGGTAAAAGCCTCTGGTGGCGAGGTTTTGAGTCTCTTCAGGGAGTAACTAGCTCAGAAGCTTTTTTTTCTCTTGAAAACTTGATGTTTCTGCAAGGACAGTTTGAGAAAGGAGCAATTGGAGCCTGGGCCATTTTTAGCAGGCCATATTTTCTAGATTACCAGTAATTGTTGGTGCTTGCCTCCAGTCTTTCCAAAGAACCACACTTTTCTTGAAAACTCAAACCCAACACGACACATGGAGCACAGAGTAGGGGCTACTTCATATTTTAGCATATGGTGTGCCTGCTTTGACATCCTGGAGTAAGGAAAACAAAATTAATCATGATGGGTTTTCATCACTGACTGCAGCTTCATAAGTCTTAAAAGCAGGGCTAGAAACTGTGTTTCATTACAGTTATAATTAATTAAATGAAGCCAGCTCTGTGCAATCCTGTGCTTTGGACAAGTCTTGGAGATTTTGGGGAAAAAAGGCCTCATCCACATATCCCTCCTGGTCTGGCAAGGCAAAACAGATGTCACTGCCACACTCTCCTTTGCTTTCTTTTGGCCCAGAGGTTTTTGAAAGGTCTGTCTGCTTGTGGTTTCTCTCTCTCTGTTTTTGATGCCTTTCTTCTGCCCTGCGTGTCCTTCCTGAGCAGTGTGAGTGCCCTTTCCCATCAGTATTCCAGTCGTGTGAGTGCTTCCCTCACAGCTCCTGCTATGGAAGGAAAAGGGAGCGCTGTGGGGTCCTTCCCATAACTGCTGAAATGTGACAATCCCTCTTTATTAGCACTGCCTCTGTCATCTCAGTTTGCTGCTGGGAAAACAGAGATTTTCACCACATGATATGACAGCTATAAAAAAGATTGAGATGGCTGTGAGTAGCTCAATAAGACTAATTTTCAGAGTATTGTTTCAAGATGACTTGTAGAGATTTAGCCAATTAAAAGTAGTGAGAGTTGGGCTGCTGCAGATTTGTGTCTCGCACTGACAGTTTGCCTCGGGACAGTGTACGGAATTCTGTCATGAGATGGGAGAACTGCACTGGGAGCTTGGAAAGGGGATGAAACAATGGAGATGGAGTCAGATATAATCAGGATATAATCAGATATAATGCAGCATCTGACCCTTTGAGACATTGGCATTTCTTTGTCCTTGGAGACAGGAAAGGAGATTTTTGGGAATAATCTGTCACAAGCAGTGCCTTCCCCTGGGCTGAGCCCACCAGAGTTAGGCACCAGTTCTGTGCTAGGAGAGGAGTCTGAAGGATCAGACTGGTTTCAGAGCAGCCAAGGCTGGATTATCCTGTTGCTCCTGTATCTTGACTTTACAATCATATTTGTCAATTATTTTATATTCTTGACCTAGAGACAGAACTAAGACCATGACCTGTTCAACCCAGGGCTTGCTCATGGCAAACTGGATATCTGTGAAACCAAATTCTCCTCCACAGCTCTTGCTGCTCTTTTGTCCTACCCTTGGAGACAAACTGGCCCCTAATAATAGCACAATATGGTAAAACGACCGCAAAAACAAAAAAAATCCTTACCCATTAGAAAATTACAATTTATTTTCTTTTAAAAAACCCAAATGAATCCCTCCAGACTTTCTGGTCAATTTGCTTTTGTGAGACTATTAAAGAAAACCTGCAATGGAAATGGGTAATATTTTCTTGTCTCCTTTTTCCCCCTCTTAGCTCTAGAAAGTAACTCCAGAATATTTTAGGGAAAAACCAAACACTGTGGGAAATAGGCAAGTGAACATTTGTATTCAAGAAAGGAATAAATCTTCACTATTGTAAAGATCAGGGCCAATTATTTTCCTTTTAAACTGCTTTCATTTTCCACATGATTTTCTATGGATTTAATTATTTTGGCTTCTGGCCATGGTCATCATCAAGCACTCCTGGGAAATTTGTTCTGTCATCCATTTCTGGAGTCTCACACACTTTCAGCAGCCACAGCTTTTGGATTTCCAAAAAGCATAACCTGTGACTGAAGAAGAAACCTGCCCACCCTGTGTACCTGTGCTGAAGAAACGCAGCAGTGAGTGTGAACCCGTCCTGCAGGATGGTCTCTGTCAGCTGGGATTGTTCCCAGCAGGTCTGCAGTGCCTGCCTGACTGGCTGGGGATATTTGTCCTGCATGCTCCTTTGGCAGTTGCTATGGAAAAAACACGTTCTGTTCCACCGGGGCTCCTCCTGAGGTTCGAGTGATGCTCCAGGAGAAACAGAGCATGACAGGGAGCACAGAGACACAGGAGGGTTTGGAGATTAAACACAAATCTGCAGCAAGGCCGTTCAGAGCGGTGGGGATTGCTCGGGGATCAGAGGAGCTCCTGGGTGTGCTGGGAGGGAGAGCAGCAGAGGGGTGTGCAGGGCTCCCAGGGCTGCTCTCCTCACCCAGCCCCGTTCATTAACTCCCCTCCATTGCTCATCAAACACTTCTGCTCTGACAGTAAACTCTCATTTGCTTTGATAACTTAATGGCAAAGCTCAGTGGGAAATTAGCTCTTACCTTGGCCTTGGGGATTGAGAAGCAGAGAATGCTGTCTCAACAGCAGTGCAGTGAAAGAATTAGCACCAAAAAATGTTGGAGAAAGGAATTATAGAAAAAAAGTGGTAAAATCCAGGTTTGGTTTCCCATGGGAAATCACAAAGTCCTAAAATTCAGCTTGCAAGGACATTATGTTTTAATTCTTCATATTTATTTTTAATAACTTGCACTAAAGACCAGGAGAAGGATATGTTTTGGTTCAGTACTTAATTTTTGGGAAGTATTTATTTTTTCTTTTGTGTTTTCAGAATCTGGAAGCAGTGGAGGTGACAAGGGACTTGAACTATGGAAAGCCTTAGCAAGACAGGGATTCCTGAATCCCTGGTTAGGTGCTTAAGTCAGAAGTCAGTGCTGCAGCCCCTGGAATTGCCTTTTCCATATTAAAATTCCTAAGGTAGCTCCAATTCTGGTCATGGCCTTAATTTTGTCTGGCTTGATGGGGATTTGAAGTGAGACTTGAGTTTCAGTCCCTGCTCTACTGAATATTTAATATAAATTCAGAAATATTAATAAAGCAAGGATTAGGTAGGACTCTCCTCTCTCAGGGAGTGCCTTGTGACTTATCTGTGGAGTTCACCTTCTCTCTCTGAGCCAGAGAACATTTAATTATTCAATATGAGTGGGTCAGGTTCAACAGCGAAGAATGAGCATCAAGCAGGGAGTCAAAACGCTTTTCTGCAGAAATGGAAAGTGCAACCCTCAGGCAAAAGAGTGATTTGAGCCCAGCCCTTCTGTATTCTGGGCAAATGCTGCATCTCCTAAAGGCAGTTTGAGATTTCTGGGAAGGCCCGAGAGAGGTGAGGCTGCTTTGGCAACATCTGCCTTCTTGTGAGGGTCTGTGGTGACAGGGCACACTGTTAAACACTGAGGGAGACAGAAAAGGAACAATTCCATCTCTCTTCCCACTCATGTGATCAAAATTAATCTGAATTTAGTTGCTGTTGCAGCCGAGGGTTTTTTTCTGTAGCTACAATGCTTTCATTTAGCAGCCTCTTCCTGGGTTATAAATGACACCCACAAGAAAGCAATGATCTGAAGTGACTGTAAATGGTTCTTAGTCAGATTCACACAATTATTTTGAAAGTGCAAATAACATTTGGGAAATGGGAAATGGCCTCTGCAGTTATTAGTTTTGTCTTTTTTTCCCTTTAATTTGCTATAGTTGTGCCTAGAAATCACCCAAGATTAGGTAAGCAGCTGTGTATGTGCTGATTAAAGTGCATTCCTTGTGCCATCAGCCTGATTGTCTGTGCAGCCAGGATAAAGTGCAGCAGGAGGAGGAGGAATTCATTCGTATTTGCAGGAACTCAGGAGCTGCTGCTTGGAGTCAGGAGCAGAAGTAAAATCCGTGTGAATCCTTTTAGGATGAAAATTGTACCCAGTAGATCAAGACTTGTAGCAGAGTCCAGAGCTGAATTTCATTTAGTAAAAAGCACACACAGCTGCTCTGATGTCCCCTCCTTGCAGTGTGGGAGTGAATTGGCTGCTGAGTTGGAGGGGCCTGAGGGATCTGGTCTGAGCTCTGCTGGGCAGCTCAAACACCCCTGGGCATTCCTCTGGCAAAAGAGGAGTTTTCTTCTTGAGGAGCACAAGGGAGCTCGTTCCTCTGGATCCCAAATGGGCTCAGTGGTTCTCCAGCAGCCCTCAAGATTGTTTTGTGTTTTTTCTGCCATTTGCTTCCTAGTTCCATCAAATATATGAGCTGTCACCATTATTCTCCTATTTGTTCTTTTGATGTTGGTGGCAGCTCAGCACCTGCAGCTCCTGGTTTTGCTCCTTGGAGTAAGGAGTGAGCTGTGGGTGGCACAGTGAGCAGCAGGGTCAGGGCTCAGCAGGGATGGCAGTGAGGACACCAGGGGTGTGTGTTGGCCTCCTGTGAAAATCACTTTCATGCACAGTCAGAATTGCTACTCATGGTTTCCCAGCATCTCCCCAACTTCCAACTTAGGGGCGAGTAAATGTCACTTGTAACAAATGGGAAACTGAAATTACATTGACATTTTTTCAGCCAGGAGTCTGAAATGTTAGTCACAGGTTTGGGGATTTATTTATTTTTACATAAAACACAAAGGGTACTGCTGGAAGTGACTAGAGAGGAGCCCAAGAAACAAGAGAGAAACTTCAGTTAAAAGACCTATCTGTCAGACCGTCTTGTTCTGTGAAGGAATTTTGCTTTTTCTCACAGTATTTCCTCCAATGATTATATAACCTTGGCTTATAGGTCTGAATTTAGTTCTTACTTCAGCAGGCATCATGACAGAAAAGTGGATGTCAGAAGTCTTAAAAGGATTTGTGCTCCATATTGAACCAACAAAATTGATTTGTGAATTAGGGGTCCCCTTCACAGAAGTAATAAAGTTTTCTTTCTGCAAGCAGTGAAATTTCTTTCTTGTAAGGTGTTAGTGTGCTGGGGTAAATATCGACAGGGCAAGAGCAGGGCAGAGATTAACCGAGGCAAAGGGAGCACTCACAGCTGAGCACTCCAACTGCAAATAAGATAAAATAAACCTGGAAGGCCCAACTGTGCTCCTGGAAAAGTGTCCCTGGTAGCTCCAGTAACTGCAATGATTTTAGATGATGTTGGCAATGAAAAACCTCTCAGAGGTGCTGGAGCCTGTGCTCCTTGCACACTGGGGCTGCAGAACAGCTAAGGTAATTATCCATCTCGGAAACTTCCCCTGTTGATGATTTCAGCTGGGTTCAAATGCTGCCTGACAGCCTCTCCCAGCAAGATACACTGAAGATATCAAAATCCCGTCCTGAAGTGAGTGCTGAAACAAAAGCAACTGCAGAAAAGCCAGCTGAAGAGATCTGGATGTGAGAAGATCTCTAGTGAGCAGGTTTCATTTCTCAGGAAACAGAATTCAACCCTAAGAACAGGAAAAGGGAAGAAAAATGGTTTTTTTCTACTGGAGATTGAAAGGGTGAGTGGATAATGAATGGGCAGCTCAGCAATTAACGGAGAAAGTTAATGCTGCTCTTGCCAGAGGTGCATCTGAAAAATGAATGGAGGATTTTCCAAGGAGCTGGGCTCTGGTTCTGAGCTGGAGGGGCTCAGTGAGGGGCTCAGGGGCAGGCAGGAGGGGACAGCTCCATGGGACAGCCCTGGCACACAGGACAGTGGCACTGCCCTGCTCTGGGTGAGCCCAGCTAAAGAGGGTTCTGGTGCTGGGGCAGAGCCTGAACAGCCCTCAGCATGGGCTGAACTGACAGCTAGGCTGTGCACAGCCAGTAATATCCAAAGGCTTTTCCATATTCTCTAGATATAAAAATTTAATCAGACTCTAAGTATTTTTTGTGTTTTCCAGAAGCTAAGTAATGACAGGTATATACCTAAAAAAAAAACAACTTGGCAAAGTGTAACGATAGAAAAGAGATTCTGTGCTGGATTTGCTTAGTTCCAGGACTGATCCTTCAGTGTTTTCAGATGAACAGAGACAAAATCTCACCCAACTTGGTGCTACTGGGCAGCAGAAAATGACAATACCTGAGCTTTGGAAAGTGTATGTGAGAACCAGGCTGTTAATTGCCAAGGCCAGAGCATGAGAAGGGGCACTCAGGAGAAATTCAGGTGGCTGTTCTGTTTTCTGACACATCTGGGCACAAGAAAAAAGCCTCTAGTAAGGTTTATGAAGTCGTGGTAGGGCTGAGCCACAGCATGTGCAGAGTAAGCCCAGCCCCTACCCCAAATTATTGCTCCATGTCCCCAGGTTTATGGACAATATAAAGCTCCATTGATGCTAATGACTATTTTTTTTAGTTTAAGTCACGCATGGGGAAGTGCTCCTTCCCCAAAAACATCTATTTGATTGTGCTCTGTATCTTAGTGTACTAGAACTAATCTACTAAAATATTCATGTAGCAAAGAAAAACGGGAATAAAAAAAAATATAAAGTATGTGCAGTGTGTCAGAATTAATGTACCTAGTGGAACATTAACTTTTGTATTTCTAGGATTTTTTTAACCTTGCTACCTTAATGGCATTCTGAAGCAGCATTTTACAGTTAGCATTTTTCTTTTTTAAAGTTCAAAGATTAAAATGGAATAAGGGTAGGAAGGGGAGGGGTGAGTGGGAGAAGATAAAAGAGCACCAGGAACCGTCGAGCTGGGTCCTTTGATTGGTAGGCAAAGCTCATAAACATCTTGAATTAATAATTTCCTACATAGGATGAAATCCAAGCATGTAAGCATAGAAAGCTATGCAATAACTAGGTAAAAATTCAAAAAAGCCTTAATGATATTTAAGAGAATCATAGGCAGAGGAGACCCTCAGATAGCTGTAAATGAATTTCACCTTCACATGGCTGCTTTTCTAAATGAGTTTACGTGAAACATTAAATACATTTGCATGGAAAATCCCACATCTGGATTGTATTTTCATTTTAGCTGTGGAATTCTGCTGCACATGTGCTGAACTCTGGGCTTAATAAAGAGCCATCTTTATTAAAATGTGGTTTTAAAACTGCATGAGTAATTTGCAATGTTAAAAGCTTCTGAAAACCCAAACTGTAAGAATGGTTTTGAAAATATTGAAAATATTGAAATTGAATCTATTCTGCACCCAACTACAAATCAGATGAAGCCTTTAATGCTCTGACTCAAAGGGAAACAAAGAAAACACTTTTTGGCAACAAAATAGTTGGGGAAAATCATATTCCAAACTGAAAATTTCATGAAACCAGAGAGTGTGAGAAGAGACAAAGACAGGCAGGGGTTTGTGCTGAAGGCAGTTCTACAAGTGGAGCTGTGCTGGGGGTGCCAATCCCTGCTCTTGGGGACCCCCAAAGCCTGAGGGACCCTGGGTGGAGCTGATCCATCCCCGCTGCTCCCGGTCCTGCCCAGCTCCTGGTCCTGAACATTTCCCCAGGACACCGAGGGCTCTGCAGCTCCTCCTGCACAAAGGCCAGGGCAGCTCCCCAGAGCAGCACATTTCATCTTGGGGCTTGGGGAGGGGCTTTAATCCTATCAGGAAAAAAAACTCAAAGCATCCTCGATTCACAAAAATAAACCTGAATCAGTTGTTTTAAAATTGAATCTTTTAAAATGCATTTTAAAATTTAAATAGGACCTCAAGCTGTAAGATATTCCTTCATTTTTTGACTGAAAAAAACTCCTTGAAGAATTGTGCAGGAATATTCATGGCTGAGCATACAGAAATATGAATCAATACAGAAAAAAAACCCAAACCAGAACAGAAAGAAGTTCCAGATGCTTCCCCATCCCAGATTTCCCTATAAACTTCAGGATACACTTTTAGCTGAGGATATAATGAAGTGTGTGCTCAGGTCACTGAAATGAAGAAGACATCTTGTCTCTAAGTTTAATTAAAAGATTTCTTCATTGAATTGTGTTGTACAAAATTCTCATTTGTTTTGTGTTTGCTGTAATTACAAGCAGTCTCCTGTCAGGCAGCTCTGCATTTCTCTCAATGTGTGCTTTAATCTCTACGAGGGGGCACAAGCAGGACATTCATCTCCCTGAAGCAGCTTTTCCCCTTGCATAGGCTTCCATCTAAATAGAGATCTGATCATTTCTAAAAAACCATTGCTTTACCAAGCAGGGGCTGACTTTTCATTTCTCACTACCCCTGTTTCTTTACTGCCCCTTGGCTTTTTGGTGTGTAATTGTACCAAGGATGAATTCACTGATATTTTTGATATTTTGATATTTTGATAAATGTGCAGGAATCCCACAGGCTACAACAGGAGTTTTGTAGTGCTGTAACCTGGGATTGTATCTGCCTTCCTGGCACGTTTCAAGTGGGGACTGGTCCCTTCTCTGTGCTTTTTGTGTTGTTCTGTGAATTGTTGTGAGTGGGCCAGGAGGAGGGGTCTGTCCTGTGATGTCTGTCACTGGAAATGCCCAGCTGTGCAAGGGTTCACCAGCTCCTCCTCGGGAGTGGAACTGCTCAGGGCTCCCCTTAGCAGTGTCTCCAAGGCAGGAAAGCTTCTCCTGTGGGCTGATGAGTGTTTTGGTGGTTCCAGAGTGGACAGACCATGAACACATGTGGCTTGCCCAGTGCTGTGACCTGTCTTGTGATGTAGGGTGCTCTCTGCTCTTGGACTCCTGCCCTGGGCTCCCCACTAACAGTGACACATCCCTGTAAACTGAAGATAGGACTGCAGTATTTTATGGCCATCTCTCAGATCTCTTTCCCTGCTCCCTCAGTTACTGACTCACCATCTGTACTTATCCTGTGTGATACCAATGTTCTCTTATCCCCCTTTTCACAGATGAAAAGATAATTAAAGTCTTGTCCCTTAAAAGAATTTCACGGTAAAGAATAGTTCCGCCTGCTGCCCTGCTGCCAGAACATAATTGATAAAGTCCTTGGTGTGGAGGCTGACATTTCTTTAATGGTGTCCCCACATTTCCTATTTTCTCTTACAGATTAACAGCTAAAGCTGTGGCTGTTCTCTTACCAATCTTGGGGAGCTCGTGGATCTTTGGCATTTTGGCTGTCAATGCCCACGCTTTAGTATTTCAGTATATATTTGCTGTTTTTAATTCACTACAAGTAAGTACCTGGGGGGAAAATTTATGGCTACAGAAGTGCTTCTGAGATCCAATTAAAAGGATCATTAGTAATGTTTTCACATGTTTATGCTTATTGCATTTCATTCTGTGTTCCTTTCTCTGTCTTTTAAGTTTGTGCTAAGCACAGAGCGCTGGCAATTGCTTGTCTTTGTTTGAACAGAACTTGTATCCCACTCCTTAGTGTTTCCAGCAGCAATAATTAAATAAATGAGACAGCACTGAGCTTCAGAAATGAAACGGAATTCATTCTTCCAGCACTGTGTACCACAGGCAGGATTCTTCAGTAGATACCAGGCCAATTTTTCACTGCCAATTTGAGGTTTCATTACTGAGACTAAATGAAAGTAAACAGAAGTTTATGGGAAAGATCCAAAGTGGAGCTATTCCCTGAGCTGTGCCAAACTCCTGCACGCAGGAACCTCAACCCTCATCTTCCTGGCACACCAATCCAGAAAAACAGCTCTGTCCAAGGAGGAATTTAAACATGTGCTTAGCTTTAAGCAGAATTTCAGCAGAGGCATAACCCTCCAGGCGTGTTACAGCTCTTTCCCAAACAGTGGTTGCAGAGAGGAAGGAAAACCAATCTCGTGTAGATCCTTTCTTGTCTTGGAAACAACTATGGACACAAAAACAGTGAAACTGGGTTCTTGGAGCTGAATGCTACCACCAGACAAATAAACCTGTTTTGTGAGGGAAAGGATGAGACCTCTTCACTTTGCATTGGACTAAAAGCACAAAGATAGACAAATTCAGCCATTAAAATTCTTCAAGTGCTAATAATACCTTGCTTTTCTAATCTGAAAAATCCTGACCTGGTGTTTCCCTAAGAGCATTTCCCTCTCCTTGCTCTTTGCAACCACAAACAAGAAGTTCTCTTGTTGTCATGAACAAGGATTTTTGCATATTTTCAGCCCGATTTTACCTTTAGTACAGCAAAGTTTAGGAGGTGTTTTTTACAGGGATAGCTCCAGACCAGCCCCACAGTAACCTGATGCTGCAGGTTTCTCCAGTTTCACTTGGGACATCCTGGTTTAGTCACTCAGGTATTTATAGGGCTCCAGCTGCCTGATGCCTGTTCTGTACAATGCTGAGGGAAACACATCATTGCGTTTGATTTTTCACAGCCAGATCTCACCCTTCTCCCTTTTTTCCATTTTCAGGGATTTTTCATGTTCCTGTTTCACTGCCTTCTGAACTCAGAGGTATGTAACCAAACGGTGTTAACAGATTTGGTGTTACCAAATTCAAAGAACATAAGTGTGAAGCAAGAACAGACTTTCTTCATTATCATTGCCTGCTATGTCACTGATTTCCTTTTTCTTTTAATTAATCCATGACTGTTCTGGCTTTGTGACTTACAGCGTTTTGACCCATGCTTGCCATTTGTTTTAATTAGCATAAGAAAGGTTTGAAACAGAAGAAAGATAAGAGGAGCAGTTCAAGAGTCAGGAGAAATCTGTCCTGAGAGCTGCAGGGGCTGAGCAGGCGTGGGCTGCACTGGAGGAGGAGATCCTTGAAAAGAGGGAGCAGGAATCGCTCTGGCAGCCCCTGCTGGGGGGCTCTGCTCCAGCTGCAGTTCCAGGGAGGAAAATAAATATTATTCCCAGCAAAACATGCTTTTGGATGTTGCTCATGCAGTCCTTAATGGGAAAGCAAACTGAGCAGAAGATATTCCAGGTATTTTTCTTGGCGGGAAGTTCAGGTTTTCACAGGGGACTGAGGAATCTTTTTGCCTTAAGACTGCATTAGAGCAACTGGGATAAAGCCAAGACAAGGCTGATGTAAATTTGGCTTGGAGCATCCTCTCCTCCTGTGGCAGAGAGCAGAAAATGCTCAGCAGCAAGTATTACTGCAAAGCAATGGTTTTTGTGAGAGCCATTTGCAGCGGGCTGCCAGGGCAATGCTCAGGGAGACCCTCCCAGCTTTGCTTCTCCACAATTCTTTTTCCTGGCTGTGGCTGAGTAGCTCTGCCCCAGCCTGCTGCTGCTTCCTGTGCTACTCCAGCTCTTCCACAGAGAAATTATCATTTAGTAGTGGCTGCCAACCTTTTCCATCTCAGAGCATTCATTGATGTGATCTCTGCCAAAATCAGCTTGAAGAGTGAGGTCTGACTGTGAAACTCCTGATCTTTACTGAAATCAACTAAAATTAGGCAGGCAGGTTAAAGGTAGGGAGGAAAAATATTTCTTTATTCTATTCTCCCCCAGGCTTAGAAATCTTCAAATTTCAAATGTTTTATATCTAATATAAATATTTGAATTGCTGTCATTTTTTCAGGAACCTCATGAGAAATTAAATTCAGAAACTTTTCAGAATTTATATCCTTAAAAACCAGTTTATACATAGCTGATGTGAGCTGTCATTTTTGGAGTGCAGGTCTTTCTGACTCCATCATAGGCTGTGAATATCTAAAATACTCCTTTAGCTAAAGTGGGGATTCTTCTTGAGAATTTCTTTCTGAGAAATAAAACTCAGATATTGTAAAGAAACATGCATAGACTGGGTGTAGAAGTGGCTGGGTGAAAAAGGGCTTTATTCCCAGAGCAGAAATGCACAGGTATTATAAAGAATCACTGGAGAATGGGCCAAGATCATCTGAAAAGCTGTCCTTGATCTCCACACCTAACACTGGTCAGTCACTTCCAGCCATTAATCCTTGACAAATCTCACCCACTTGTCTCACCATCTGTCCTTTCTGCAGCTGATGTTCACTTGGGTGAAGAACATTGCTCCATCTCTAGGGAGTTCCATCCAGCCCCATGAAATGACTGTTTACAGCAGGCTGGCAGCTGCTCTGTGTCTGCTGGCACTGGGTGTGCCAGGGCTGTGCTGCCCTGCCTGCACGGGCACCTCCTGCTCCAGCCTGGGCTCTGCAAAATGTGCAAGTGTCCCAGAGAAAAGCCCATGAGGACAAAGAGAAGTGTAGGGGTGGATTGGTTGTTCTTTAATGGCACATGACATTTGTGTGGAGTAAGGAAAAAGGGAAAATGATTGCAGGCTGCACCTGTGAGAATAAACACAACCATTTCTACTGGTTCTGTGTTTTTGCCAAAGGTTCGAGCTGCCTTTAAGCACAAAACCAAGGTCTGGTCCCTCACCAGTAGCTCAACACGCAACATCAACGTGAAGCCCTTCAATTCAGACATTGTAAGTATTGCTCTTTTCCCCTCCCCTTTTGTAGTTGAGAGTGTTGCACATTCAATTCTGTTGGAAAGAACAGAGCAGGCCCGTGGGTATTGTTAGCACCAACCTCGTGCAAGGTGTGGACAGATGGAAAAAGTTGCAGCTCCAAAATCTGTTCTGAAAGCAAAGGACAAATCTCTGCGTTCTGGGAAACTATCAAATAAAAGCAAACACAGCTTTATGAGCTCTGGATATGGTTCAATAAGGCTATTCCCACCAATTGCAGTGCACTTCTGATTCCAGCAGCATTTTGGCAATGTATTGCTCTGATAGGGCATTCTTACTCTCAACACATGAATATCCTTTCCTAGCTCTCCTTAGACTGAGACAGAAGACATTTGTTTTTATAAGGAACCAGACATCTGAAGTGATAGGTATTATTAAGTGATCGTTGCCAATCAGCTTAGATCCTGGCAATAACTGTTTAAAAATCTTTTATGGCATATGCTCTCAAAACCCTGTGACAACACTGTAATGTAAATAGATGCTTTCAAGCTTTTATTTCATCCAGGCAAGAGCAGCTTGGCAAAATAAATAAATCAATTTTCTATACTATTTTATTTTCCAGATGACTGGGAACAGGCCAGGCACAACTCCCACCAAGCTGAACACCTGGGATAAAAGCAGCAACTCAGCGAACCGCATTGATTTATCAGCGGTCTGACAGGAATAGCAGCTCCTCAGAGAAAACCAAGCCATACATTCAGGACCTCTGACACTGTGTCCACCAGCTTTTCCTCACTGCTCGTGCCAGTAGAAAACTGGGGTTTTTAAAACACTGCCTAATGAATTGGTAATTGCCATATTGTTCTGTTGAGTAAATAGCCCTCCTTGCTTGCCTTCAAAACTGAAACACATTCTAGCACTTGGCTCTTAGCAATATCTGTAAAAAGACCAGCACAAATATACACTGGATGGTTTTGTCAGCAATGATGAAAACACTTGGTATGCAAGAAGGGCTTATTGCTCTCTGAATCATTCCAGCTCCCAGGACTGAGGGAAAGCAACATACCTCTGAAAAGATGGACTTTTATGCTCACAAATGAAATGCTTCCCGTTGTGATGTTGTAATGACACTATTCCAGACTTGCTGTGCTCTCTCTGTTTACATTTATTACCTTACAGAATCCAATTATCAAAGTGAAGTTGATTCAAAATACATAGTATGGTGTTTAATCTAAATGCTACAAGGAAGCCAGAACTTGAGGGAGAAGCAGCTTCCAGCTACTCCAGTCCCAAGGTGGGTGTGGATTGGCAAAGCTGATAAACACATAAACAGCACCTGTACCGTGTAAATCTCCTGGATGTGGCCTGCTGGTACTTTAGATCTTCCTGTTGCCACCATCAGAGGGAGAAGTGGCTGTGGCTGTCCCTCAGCAGCCCACAGCACCTCTCACTGCTCTGTGTGTGCTGACACATTCCCACACAGAGCATCCCCTGCTTTTCCTGCAGCCTCAGGATGCAATCAGCCACTCTCCAGAGAGCACATCTTGCAAACTCACCGTGGCTTTTACAGATCCAGAGCTGGTGCTGTGCCTGACCTTCCTCCTGTTTCTGGTCATTTGAGACACTCAGCTCCTGCCACAGAGATGTAACATGCTGATACACTGTGAAGACAGCCAGCCTGCAAATAAGTCTGTGTATTGTTTCCTGCAGACAGCTTTTAAACAGGTCTCTGCAGTCTCTTTTGTGGTTTTAAATCCTGCTCAGCATTTAGCAGCTTCTGCTTTAGTACTGCTAGGAAGTATCTTTGAAGAGGAAAAAAAACACTGTGATTTTTCCTCTGCCCAGTGTTTTTTACAGGTTCTCAGAGTGGTGTTTGGAGCACAGCCAGGGCACCTCAGCTGTGCCAAACCCAGCCTGGACAAAGCAGAGTTGAACTCCTGGCAGTGGTCAGAGCTCTCAGGACCTTGCTCCAGGATTTATTCAGCCCCCAGGGTCTCCAGAGTGACCTCCACAGGCGAGGACCCCTGGCCAGAGGGGCTTTGCAGCCATAGCTCCTGGTCCCCAGCTCTCCCTTGATCCTGCCCTGCAGGGATCACCAGGCTGTTCCCTGTCCTGACCCACTGGGATCAAACACTATTTATCAAACCCTGCAACAGGCACAAAATGTGTGAGTCCTCAACCTCATGTTTGCTAAGCTGTTCAGTGTTGGGCTTTTTAACATTAATAAAATGTTTGTATCTTCAGCAGCTCAGACAATTCCTGGTGAATGTGCTATTGGTTTCCAAGAGAAAAGGTATTTATACTCTCATGTGCAGAGTGGAAATTTTCTATTGGATAGTAAATTTATCAAAAAGAAATATGAAAGTAAATTGATCTTTAGGGAACAGGAAATACCCATCAATTTTGACTGAATTTAGTGAAGTGTTTAATCCCAAAGACATGGAATTGAAAGCTTAGAAAAACTCAATGCATTTAATTTCTGTTTGATCCAAACCAAGTTTTGTCCATGTTTCCTTCCTGCACTAAAAATAATGATCTGTTTCAGTTTGGCCCAATCTTTCCTGCCTTCTCCCCTTCCTAGCCAGGACCTGTTGGTGTGATCCCCAAACTGGAAGCCCGGCCCACCCAAGCTTGTTGAGCTTACAGCTCAAAACATTCTAGAGAAATTATTTCAGTTGCACCAGGTCTGTGCTGGATTTCTGCAGCTGGAACAGAGCAGAACTGCACATCACACAGGCATGAAATCCATAGGCTTTAACCTCGTGTTTCCTCATGCTAAATAACTCCAATCAATGACAGCTAACTCCAAACAGAGGTCAGAAAAAGCTAAATATGTAGATGGCTGTGTCTTTATTTTGGCTTTCGTGTATGGTTTTCTCCTGGCCTTTTCTGCACTGCTCTGCCTTACAGCTCTGCAAATAGATGGGCTTTTCTTGGCCTGGAAATGATTTTTTCCCCCCAGAAGACCCTGTAGACAGAGCCCTTGGAATGTACAGAGGAGATGGAATAGAAGAGTGCTGTGATAACAGCGCTCAGAGTTTGTATTGTGTGCAAACAATCTATTTAATCATATTTTTTATACTGGACCATATGAGTTCTTTTGGTTTTGGTTTGTTTCTTTGGTTTGCTTTTGGTTTTTTTACACTGTGACCACAAATATAGATTGAAACCTTCCTTGATCATTTATCTTCTAATCATTGTATTATAGCACAAAGTTCTGTGAATGAACCAGACAACATATAAAAGCTTTTTTTTTTTTAATCTTTATTTTTGGTTGTGCTCCCTCTGCACAATTTTCATTGCTTGCATTTCCTCCTGTCTGTGTTGGTCATTTTGTGACTCCCAAGGTCTGTTTGGATAAAACCCAAACAAGAGATGTACCAGTGATGGGATGAAATGCAGTGGCACAAAGGGCTAAGGCAGGTTTTCATCCAAGTGTGCTCTGTTTCCAAATTGTTCACCAAAAATAAGACAAGCATGAGAATGTGTTTGGTTTTACACTTTTGAATGACGTGGAAGTGTTTTGTGTGAGGAGCATTGATCATCCTGTGTCTCCTGAGATCCTCCCTCATCCCTCGCTGTACCTGGAGAACGTGGCTGGGCATGGAGCAGTTTTATCTTGTTCATGGCCCACGAGGTTGGGAGCACTGAATTTATCTCACTGCATTGGGGATGGGGCTGCTCCTGTTTTTGGCAAATTGCTGAAAATCCCCTCAAAGTGCAAATGTGTTCTGTTGCCATCGATTCCCATTCTGTTAGTTTGATTCAATGTGTTCTTCTTGGTACTGAATGCAGCAAATGTACTGAATAAGAAATGCTCAAATGAATCTTTAAACAATCTCTTCCTGTTCTCAGTCTCTTGAAGCTTGAAAATCTTGCAGTTTATTTATGGGCATGTATATAGCAGCTATTACAATATTTTTTTGGACAGCATCATTTTGTCAACAGTATGAAATCTTAATTGAATGAAATGTGAGTTTTTAAAATAGGTGATGTAGCAAGGATGACTTTGCCAGTAAGTAGTAAAATAATTTAGTTTTGTTGTTTTTCCCCCTCAAATAAATAAGAAATCTTAATTTCCTAAAAAGACTTTGTATTTGTTACAATTATTCTTTTGACATGGATTGTAAACAACAGCATAACAATGCAGGTTCCCTATCAGTGCTGTTGTTGCAATTATACATCAGAGCTGTATAATCACATCTCTCCTGTGAGAGACCTCCTGTCTGCCAGGGTGCTGAGGAAATGTGGAGACAATATTTCTGTGTTAAACTTTATACCCAGAGAGGAGCTGTGCCGAGCCTCAGCAGCAGAAAGAGAACTCCTGGGTTCAGGGGCAGCCCTTGCTGAGTGGCTGGGACTGAAATCCTGGCTCTGGGAATGGCCTCAGTCCACAGCAGGTCAGGAGTGAGGGGTTTTTAACTAATACTTCTTGTATGAAAACTTTATTACTCTTACACTTTTATCTGAAAATGATAATGAGGATCCAGGAAGGTCACATCTCCATCTCCTCAGCTCCCTCACAGGGATGCAGCCCCGCAGCTCTGGTTTGTGCCTTGCTGTGATGATTAACAGCCTGCCTGCTGCCTCCTGTGCTGCATAGGTGTGTGGATGTGGTGAGGTGTGGAAAAATAACTAGAGCAATTATATGCTGAAAAATTAGAGATTGGAATTTAGATGAGAAAGGCTTTTCATCCTCTTTCAATAAACCTTCTTCCCTTCGTATCCTTTAAAACCATGTAGCAAGGCATACATAAAAGAAAGCTGTCTGGCTGTTTTGTGAAACACAGAGGTTATTAGCATTTATCACTCGTGATGGAATAGTAAATTAGATCATTTTGGCTCTGGCTTACACCATGTTTGCCTTTAAAAGTATTTTCATTCTATCTGTGGTATGCTTGGCTGGCTCGGTGTAGTGTGTCATGGATAGTTACTGCTGTAATTGCCCTTGTTCACATGGTTTTCCTTCTCAATAATCCCATATGTTCTTGGAATTCAGAGGCCATATTTCATCTTGTCAAGGATGATTACAACCCTAAATGTACCACTGACATCAGCATCTTCAGCAGGTGCTGACACAGGGCAGAAACTGAGTCACAAGGGATGTCAAGCACTGTGCCCTGGTCTCTGCCCAGCACCTTCTCTGAAGGATGCTCCACGTGCTCAGGGATGTTCCCCAGAGGGCTGCTTTAGGCTGTCTCATTTACCTTGACCAAAGACAACTGAAATTTTCTCTCACCCCTGTTCTTTTCTGTTGTTACTGAATAAAACCAGGGTTGATTTGGCACTGTATGTGCTCCTTTAAGCACTCTCCAAGCTAAGCATTTGATGGTATCTACTCACAAACAGAGAATATAACATGAAACAGTTCAAGACCAAAAAACCCAAACCAAAACATACACACACACAAAATCACACCAAAAGTGCAGCACAATTAGCAACTCTGCCACTGCAAACGCTTTGCTTTAGTTAATGCTCCTCATATACTGGAGGGAGATGCAGAATGAAACGAAACCAAGTTTTTACCGTTTAAAACTACCTCAAATTAGGCTGCTTGGAAAGCTTGGGCCTTATATTGTAGGTTTCAGACAACTTAAAATTCATATTATGTTGATTGTGGAATATTTCCTTCAGGTATTTTTGTTTCAGATTCTGCACAAGTCAGCTAAGCGTGACCCTTCTGTGATGTGATGTCTCCTCTCTCAGCCAGTCATGTATCACTAATTTGCCATATTTTGCCAGTTCTAAAAGGAAAGGAAAAAAAGACGGAGGGATACATGAGCATGTGTTCACAGAAGAAAAAAGTCACACCTCAGTCCTCTCCCCAGCCTGTGGGCCCTTCACCCTCTGGGTTGGTGAGGCTGTGGTCCTGTGTGTATGGACCTACAGGTCCTCCTGTGTGGGAGGCTTTAGTTCTGAAGCTCAGCAGCTGGGAATATTTGCAGGGACAGCTTTTGCAGCTGAAGCAGCAAAGAGCATAATTGATAAAAATGTGGTGAGCTGAATATTGTGCATTTAGATTGTATATTATGCATTAAAATCTCTGATGTGCAGTCAGTGGAACACACTGCCAGTTTACCTGCCAAACCAACTTAAAGCATGCAAAAAGTATCGCAGAATTAGTCCTTCAAAGGCAGATTATTTGGTATTTCACTGCTTATGTCCTGTTCAGGAGTGAACTTCTCCCAGCTGAATGCAGAGATTTCCTCAGGGGAGGTGGGATTTGCACCCCTGAAATCCTGCAGGGCAGAGCAGAGCCGCTGGTTCTCCAGCCCAGCTGCAGAGCCAGGATGTGTCACCTGCCTTTGTCTCCTCAGCAGCTGCTGTGCTCCCCCAGACCCACTAAGGAAAATGAGTAACCACAGAAGAAGTGATGTCAGTGCATTTGTTGCAGACAAAAACCACCCCAGTGCAGCAGTGTGGGGTTTTCCTCTGTTTTTTTCAGCAGGGGAGCAGGACTCACCCAGAGTGTCACAAATCTGGATTTCTGCATTCAGTTCTACGATGTAGATGGAAAAATGGTGTGAAAGATGCTTTCTGCTTGTCTGAAGGCATTTCTGTCAAATTCAGATATTGTTTTACACTTGCTGAATAGTCTGCCTCAGACACCCAGTGCAGGATACATTTGTGCTGCAGAAGAAAATAACTCATGCTGTGCTCTGCTGCCTTAAGAGCAGAGATTATTTGGATCAGGGGAGCCACTTAGGAGCATTTCAGCGGACAGGAAGGGTAATGGTTGTGCCATGACTTCAAAAAAGCCACTTCTATGAATAATTTCTCTTTGAATCCACAACAGTTCAAATCAAACAAACTTGAGACCACATTTATTTTCAGTCTATCAGCCCGGGCCATGGAGGGAGCCTGGAGCCCTGCGATATCACAGCTTTGCCCGGGGCTTCTGCCACAGCTCACAGGGGTCACACAGTCCCCACGGCAGGACAGCCTTGCCCAAGGCAGCTCCAGGAAAGCTGGAGGCAGGGACAATGCCTTGGCTCCTGCCTCCAGGACTGAGAGCAGCAGCTTTGCATTCGGGCTGCAGCGAGGTTCCCCACCTGGAATCCATCTGCAGAGCTCACACCTGTCTGCAAACTCCCTGAAACTCCTTCCTGTCCTTCCCCTGCAGCTCTCACATTATCCACAACTCATAATGACCACAACAAAACATTGGGCACAGCAACTTTTAATAATGTCTTCTCATTAGGAAAATGTTTGGCCCTGTGAACATCTAACTGCAAGAAAAACACAGTCCCTTCTGGCTGTGCATCAGTGCAGTAATTTAACAAGGAAAGAGAGATAATCTTCTTCCTCCATATCAGAGCTTCTCATTTAATAGAGCTATTTTTTTCAGATAACAGCCTTGGTAATGACACCACAAGAAATGCACACTGGGAAGCACAAAACAGCTAAAGTCTGCTTTCTTTCTGTGTACTATAATTTGTGAGACATTTCACCTCCCCAGTGAGAAAGGAAGAGCTTAAGAGCTGTGGCCCCTTGTTTTCACTGCATAAATAGACAGCATCCTGGTTTTTTAGCAATTTGAGACCGAAATTTCTAATCTGACCATTAGCTACAAACAGTTTTAATACTTTTTAATAATTTTCAGTTTGAATTGTATTTTTAGTTCACGACCTTTAAAAATAAGCACATTTCAAACTCGCCAATTCCAGTTATCTATTTTGCAATTAACATTCTTAAAGTGCATCACTACCACTAGGTGCCTCCCACAATCCTTTAAGAACAATTTTATTTTGCGTCACTTGTGTAGTCATTTCCCTAACTTCTCTGTTTCACCTATCTGGCATTATCTATTCAACTGAAACTAGAACAGATGTCACAAAATACAGGCAATTGCCTCCTACATGGTCTGCAGGTTCCGCTGCTTTTGCAGGATTCATTTTTGGGACAGGCATAGGGAAGAGGTTGTGTTACCTCCACTTCTACCTTCTGCTTTCTCTCCCTGCAGATGGTGGGTTTTATAAATTGGAAGTAATTGCAAGTCAAACTGTGTTTGTCTGGGATGTGAAAGGCAGCTGGGCTCTGTTCCTGGCACTCAGACATGTTCACAGGTCTTGCTGCCCTCTTCATTCTGTTAAACTGATTACTCCCCTTCCCTTCCCGTAAATACCTCTTCTGTTCATTTAACTCCTCAGGCACTTCTAACTTGGTCCTGCCAGAACTTACATCAGACACTGTAAATGTCCCTTTCTGCAATCTGCATTTTCCTTTTCTGCTTTAGCATGGGCTGGGGACACTGCTCTGCCTGGCTGGGGACTGAGGTTCTGTGGAAAACAGAAATTTGTGGCTATCTACAGATCCTGGGGGGTAAGGATTGTTTGTAAGCACTCAGGCACAGAAATCCCTCCTTGGCCGAGAGGTTTTCTGAAAACATCCTCTTCAGGCTCTCTGTGGAGGAGATCCTGAAGTGCTGTGGATTAGCATCAATTAAATCACGGGGCTGGGGCCACCTGAGGGCTGTTTCTGGCTCCCTTCTGCAGCAGCTAAAACCAACCCCAGCCCTTGGGGGCTCTGCTCCCTCCCTGCCCTCTGCCTTTTGGCTCATGTTCTGAGACCCTCCTGTTTCCTTCTGGCTGGCTCCGTGTTTGGAATGGCAGCTGCTGGCTGACCACCACCTCTTGCTGCCTTATTTACCTTTAAATAATGGTGAGGGATTCTCCTGAGACACCGGCCTCTGCAGAAGGACTTCTCCCACACGCCTGGAGCAAGGCCACAAACGTAGAAGTAGCGGCTTTGAACATCTAACAAGAAATAATAATTGTTATTTGCCCCTCAAATGAGCACAGTTCTCTGCTCCCAATGGGCCCAGGTGAGGGAAGGTGGATGGGTTCCCATAATAAAGGTTATTTCACCCTTCACACTCAAAGCCAGCCTGGTACAGTGGGAAGGTGGCCCTGTGTCCTGACCTGAGGCAGGCTTTGCTGGAATGGCTCTTGCCACTCTCTGCTATCTCAAACCTGCAAGGGGGCAGCAAATCAAGGATTTATCTGAAGAAGGAAGCAATTGATCCTGGAATTCATAACATCTGGATAAAGCCTGCCCCAGATATCCCCGCTGTAATTTGCTGTATTTCCATTCAAGTCACGGCCCATTTCCAGACAGGGGTTGCTTCCCAAGCCTGCCTCATTCCTGCAGCAGGTCAGCAGTCTCCATGGAAACCCAAACTGGAAGCAGCACTTAAAATGGATTTTCTGATTAATAATTTCATTGGCATTCTAGAGAAATAAAGAGGCCCTTCCTGAGGGCTGTGTCAGGGTTCCTCTGGCACAGGCTACCAGAGAGCAGCTGACAATTGCCCAGGCCAGCACTCGGCTGCCCCAGCTGGCCCCGATGTCCTGGGCTCCTCTTGGCTCCCTGTGGGCCCCAGCAGAGGGAATTCAGAGCCAGGGCTACAAGAGCCAGGCAGCACCATCACTGCAGGACAGCAGTGTCTGGATGGGTCTGCTGCAGGATGGATGCACTAAACCCTGTCTCACTCAAAAAGTCATTCACTTCTCTTCAGCAATTGAAGACATCAGGAGATTAAAGAGAGAACAGGAAACTGTGCCCTGATCTGTGATAACTATTCTCCTGAGCAGTTCTGACAGAGGCTGTCTAAGGAGTGATTGGTGACCACCATTCGTCTCCTTCTCATTCAGGCAGACATCATTAGAAAAGATTTAATCAAGAAAGAGTAATGAACTTGATAGAAGCTGGCCAGACAAATGAGAAAATCACTTGACTTCTGTTAAAAGATGTTGGATTTTTTGAGTTAGGCCCTACATTTTTTATTGAGTTAATGTAACCTCAGTTGTCTATTTCAGTTGAACTCCTGTTTCCCAGCTCTAAGTCAAATTCTAAGTCAGACACAAGCCTGCCACTCTAGAGATTTCTGTATGCATGTAGGTATTTATCAGTCTGTTCATACACCTTAAAATTTATGATGTGAAAATCTGAGCTGTTTTGGCTACCTCACATTTTCATTACTTCTAGTTTTCTTGTTTCTCTTACCTTCCAGATAAACAGAAGATGGGGAAAGAGAAAAACACAAGTTGCTGCCAGGCTGTCATAATTTGGTACTGACTGTTTACAGGCCAGGAAGTTTCAGGATTGAAAGATTTCTCTCACAGGAAGGCTACAGACATTTTGGATAAATGTGGTCCTTGACAATATTCAAAAATAAAAATATTATAATTAATATTATTCTACACATAATACAAACAACTGAATACCATCCCCTTTTATTAAACCTTCCAATGTGAAGCCTAATGGAGGCTCAATTCAATTTGTTGGAAAACTTCCAATCATTTCAACAGGGTTTATGTCAGGTCTTATTCAGGAACTGACTGAGACATTGACATTTATTAACTCCTTCAGAGTAACTACTGCTATTCAGATTGTCTGCTGAAATTTTGTCATGAATGTTCACAGTTTGCCATTGCCATGTAATTTTTAGTTGTATGAGTCAAGTGACACTGATTAACTGCAAAAATACTGAAGACTTACAAAAATGGAATATTGCAATAGGTTATACATGGTGCCAGCTAGAAAATATTTATTCACTTGTTGGGTCTGTTTCCTCATTTGGTAGAACTCATGAGGAACTAGAAATGTGTGCATCAAACTTGGCTTCTGGTAAAAGAAGCAATATGGGAATAAATCACCCCCATACTTTCATGCCTACTTTCTGTAGTTGTTCAAACGTTCTTGGGGAACAAACACAGATACAGACCCTCCTCAATCAGAGTTTGCTGCTGAGTTCAAGTAAATGATATGCTACTTTTTGTTCAAATTGTTCATCTCAGGATATATTTGTGGTTCACTAGTTACCAGCAAGGAGCCCTGAGCAAGTCATTACTGGTTAAGACAGCAGTTTACAATACATGCCATTTCACTTCAAAAAAAGAAAAAATACAAGGTCTTTCTACAGAAATGTAATTTCAGAATGGAAATGTAAGAGGAAGAAAACTGTTTGTGGAAATCAAAAACAGATACTGTGTCTTCTGAGTATTTCTATCCCAGATGTGAAAAGAATTCCATTCTCTGTCTCAATATTGTATTTGCACACCTCCTGGTGTGAATCTTATTCCAAATCTGTGCCACACTGATCCATCACCTCTTTAATGAATACATAAGGGACATTTCCAGGTAAAATGGAAACAGTGAGGTGAAAAAACGAATGTTTTGTAACCAGGTAGATGTCTCTGAAGTGCAACCTCTCCCTCATACTGCATTCCATGATGAAAAAATGATGTTTCAGGGAAAATGCCCTAACTTGAAACAAAACAACACAAGGTGCACAGCAGTCCAGTACTGGAGTAGCAGTGGAGACTTTTCAACCCATTAAGCAAGTCCCTGATTTTCATCTCTGTTCTAAACTAAAGAAATGGGAAAAGAAGTAAATATTCCATATTACCCTGCAAACAAAAGTTTACCAAGATACACCCTAGACGTAAAAAAGCCAAGTGAAGGTGCCCTGCCAATCCTACAAAACCCCTGAGAGGAAAAGCAGAACTGTGCAAACAGCCAAATGTTGAAGGACAATCTAAACCTATTTGTTATGGAGGTAAAGAACAAGCAGCTGGTTTGGCTGAGTGCCCTGCTCCAGGCAGGACCGTGACGGGAGCTGTGCCTGTGCTGGCTCTGGCTCCTGCAGCTGCTCCCAGAAGGGCTCTGGGGGCACAGGACCCAGCCTGGGCTGCTCTGGAGCGCTGGGAGCTGCTCAGTGCTGCCCATCAAGGGCTTAAATCGAGATACAGAGGGGTGAGAGTGGCAGCTGCTGGCCCTGGACACTCTCTGGACACAGGAGCTGTCACACACCACAGGCAGAGCATCCCCTTCTGCCCCAAATACTCTTCCTGCAGGTACTTCCTATTTCAGAGCAACACAAGAGCAAAGGATCATTCTTCATATGCACAAGGAAAAAGGCATTTGATCACTTTCTCTGTAGACCAATTGGAGCCTATTCCATAAACAGTGTGAATAATTTTGTGGTTTTTGTTTAACCTGAATTCAAGACTAACCCATGGAGGCATTTGGAATATGCTGCTGAGTACTTAAGCTCCATGTTTAAGTAGCCGGCTTCAATTTTTCTCACACCATTGCACTAAGTACCACAAGGTCTAAAGGATTTGAACAGCTAAATCCCACTTTCATCAGTGACTGGGCAGCTGGAACACCAAGTAGCAAAGGCACTGAACAGGTCCTAAAGTCTAAATCGTGGTGGCACAGATATTAAAACATCCTTAACTCGTCAAATGCAAATGAGACTTAGAAGAATGTTCAAATATGGCTATGGTCCAATTACTTTCAACAAATGTTTTTGAAGATACAGTTCTGTGGCTTTGGTCCCATGTCACACTGATGTGACTTAGATTCCTAAATCAGCTAGAGGCTATCAAAAATGCTTCCCTTTTTCTTTCTTTAAAACACAATTTATAATAACATTGGGGGGATGGGGCACTTCTAACAGTCGTTACTCATTTAAACTCTTAATGTGTTATGTCTTTACACAGTTGCAGACAGCTATTTCTTGATAGAAACAGACTTCTCTTTACCAGAGGTTTTAGTGCAAGATTTCTTTAGTACTTCAATTTTAGTCTCTGAAACAATAATGGTCTAAAATATTTCAGTATTCTCTTTGCATCCCTGCAAAAGAAAAAGAAATCTCACTCAAGTCAAAATGTTTTTTATTGTCCATTGATCTACATAACCAAAACCTACAGCAACTAATTTCCCAGATTAAACTAATAAATTAAGATTGCCTCACTAGAAACCTGACTATGGCAAAAAAAAGGCACTAAGGGAAAGAGATTTATTGAGATGAAAGAAATCTCCATTTTAGCTGCATTTTCATAGCTCCTTTGGTCAGGATTAGCTGACAGTTATCAGAGTCCAAGATAAAGATATATAATGTTTAGAAATGGCACCTAAACTATTATTCCAGAGAACAAGTAGAGTGTGTTATTAATCTTGGGTTCTTAGGCCAACTAAATTGCTGTCAATAAATCAGTAATTATTTATGGAGCTTCTTTACAGTGACTAACTAAAGGATTGCAATTATTTATCACATAGTTGCTCTGCAGAGTAAATTCAATAATCCTTCTTGCTAACACGTAGTGTTTGAGGGTGCACTGGCCTGGGGAACCTCTGTTGTCACGTTGTGCACGCTGGTTTGTTGTATCCTCGTGCTCAGCACAGAATTTTGAGTGTCAGACCCTGCTATGTGAATTCAGCTCCTCTGTGCATGAGCTCAGCACTAAGTGGCACACACAGAAACCTGGGGGTTCCACCCAGAAATGCACAACAAACCCTGGTTTGCAGCTTTCACTGTAAAAGCCATCACCACCTGCTTCTGTGGCTGCAACATGTCCAGGGCTGGAGCCAGCTCCTGGGGAGATGGGTGGATTTTCCAGCCCTGCTTATCCCTAGCAGCAGCCAGAATAAAACTGAAGAATGTGTTAATTTGACAAACTTGCCACATACAGGATTAAAACCACAGCTCTTGAACAGGGTGAAGAATGAATTGTCCATACTACTCACAGGCTCCCAGGCTACTGATCCCTGCGAGTCAGAGAATTAAAAACAATGTGAATTTCAGCAGGGTTCAGTGTATCTATTTTTAATGTTTTGGCATTTAAATCAATTTCAACTCTTATTACTTTGAGCAGATATATGTAATAAGGAAAACTCCAGACTGGAAAAGGCTGAAGGTGACAAAAAATGGAATTTTGGGAGCAGATGAATTAAAAAGCCTGTAACT